AATTTGATTTGTAAGATACACAGTCACATATACAACATCTTAGCTACTAGATTATAACAAACATTTTGTACTTTTTCTTAGTATTACTGGGCCAATAATCTGTCAAAAATTAGAGAGATATACTCTGAAAGGTCTGGCTGATTTTTGTTATCATAAAGTCACATTCTGAATTACTGTGCGTTATCTGTGGCAAGATGTGGATGTTATTAAAACACACTGGAAAACCACAGACCGGACAGCCAGACAGACATGTGTCATGAACCCTTCACCACCACATCACTTTTTATTCCACTGGCCTTTAACAGATTTGAATCAGTCACTGCACTCAATATTTTTAAATTCTCTTTGTAGCTTATTGTAAAATCATTTCATGATTTCTGTTTTTTTGTTTTTTTGTTGTTGTTTTGTTGATTTCATGGGTTAAGACTCTTAACCCACGAATTCATATGTCCATGAACTGTTTAAATCAGTGTGGGTACTCTTAATCCACAGTTCATATGCCATGAACTGTTTAAATCAGTGTGGGTACTCTTAACCCACAAATTCATATGCCATGAACTGTTTAAATCAGTGTGGGTACTCTTAACCCACAAATTCATATGTCCATGTTTGTTTTTCTGATTTTTTTTTACAATCACTAGTACACTTATCATCAGAGATTTATCAACACCAGATAAACACAGAGATTTATCAACACCAGATAAACACAAAGATTTATCAACACCAGATAAACACATACCGAGATTTATCAACACCAGATAAACACATACAGTGATTTATCAACACCAGATAAACACAAAGATTTATCAACACCAGATAAACACATACAGAGATTTATGAACACCAGATAAACACATACAGAGATTTATGAACACCAGATAAACACATACAGAGATTTATCAACACCAGATAAACACAAAGATTTAACAACACCAGATAAACACATACAGAGATTTATCAACACCAGATAAACACATACAGAGATTTATCAACACCAGATAAACACATACAGAGATTTATCAACACCAGATAAACACATACAGAGATTTATCAACACCAGATAAACACATACAGAGATTTATCAACACCAGATAAACACATACAGAGATTTATCAACACCAGATAAACACATACAGAGATTTATCAACACCAGATAAACACATACAGAGATTTATCAACACCAGATAAACACATACAGAGATTTATCAACACCAGCTAAACACATACAGTGTGTATGATCTATTACAGATGTGTATATGAGGCATTAAATCTAATAGGGATGTATAACACCGCACAGAGGAATGTTGACAGTATTTGAATTTCTGTGGTGAAGTCACAAGATTTGTCACATAATGTCTAAATATAGATCTATATAAAACCTTATACATAACATAATGAGCTGTATGATGCTTGTGTATAAGGACTTACATTTCCGGTTTCCTTTAAATTTTCAGTTTATGTAAGAGTTTTTAGAAATCAAGAATTTGACAGGTAAATTGTATATTATTTATCTTATCTGGTATAAAGATAAATAAAATGTTAATTTTAACATCAATTCTTAGTTGGCGGTTACTTATTATGTACTTTTCAATACAAATATGAGAAATCAAAACAAGAACACCCGATGTCTTGCTCTGAAAATCATTGGACTGTAATAGATGTAAGCAATACAATATATTAGGGTCCCAATTCATTTAAATTTTATGTTAAGTGGTTGTAGAAAAAAAAGAAAGAAATCCGGGCCAAGTTACTCCAGGAAATTATCCTACACCCTGTGTACAGTATATACTAGGGAAGTGTTATGAGCACACCTTGACTACCTGTACATAATCATAGGTGTATTCATTACCTGTCCTAGTCACAGCTTTTTGCTGGATTGGTCCTGAATTGTCACAGTTACCTGTAAGTATATTGCTACTTGAAACATCACATTTTTGTTATGCATTTTTTTTTATGTTTATAGTTAAAATTATTTTTTTGTCTTCAGCTTTGTATAAAGTAGAACGGCAACCTGTGTTACAGATTTCATGAGTGGAGATTAATGTTGGTTTGGATTTTTAGTTCAGGTATAAACGGTATGTGTAAGTAAATGGTATATTATCAAACAATTTACTTCATAGAGTTTATTGTAAACACTCAGGATTTAAATGGAACAACTGGCTAATTGTTTAGAATGAAACACACAGTGACTATATTCCACAGTGGAATTGATGGTAGACAGGTAGATAAGGGTCGTCTCTGGTAGCACCTCAGAGACCAGGCAGTTGATGATGTTTTGATGATCTACATCAGGACTCCAATCACTTCAGTATCATTAGATAAATATGACTTCAGTATCATTAGATAAATATTATTTCAGTACCTGATAAATATGACTTCAGTATCAGATAAATATCACTTCAGTACTTGATCAATATTATTTAATTATCAGATAAATATGAATCCAACACCAGATAAATATTATTTAATTATCTGATAAATAAGACTTCAGTACCTGATATATATGACTTCAGTATCAGATAAATATTATTTAATTATCAGATAAATATGAATCCAACACCAGATAAATATTATTTAATTATCTGATAAATAAGACTTCAGTACCTGATAAATATGACTTCAGTATCAGATAGATCTGACTCTAGTACCAGATAAATAAGATTTAGATATAAGATAAATATTATTTAATTATCTGATAAATATGACTTCAGTATCAGATAAATATTATTTAATTATCAGATAAATATGAATCCAACACCAGATAAATATTATTTAATTATCTAGATAAGACTTCAGTACCTGATATATATGACTTCAGTATCAGATAAATATTATTTAATTATCAGATAAATATGAATCATCTGATAAATAACACTTCAGTACCTGATAAATATGACTTCAGTATCAGATAAATATTATTTAATTATCTGATAAATAAGACTTCAGTACCTGATATATATGACTTCAGTATCAGATAAATATTATTTAATTATCAGATAAATATGAATCCAATACCAGATAAATATTATTTAATTATCTAGATAAGACTTCAGTACCTGATATATATGACTTCAGTATCAGATAAATATTATTTAATTATCAGATAAATATGAATCATCTGATAAATAACACTTCAGTACCTGATAAATATGACTTCAGTACCTGATAAATATGACTTCAATATCAGATAAATATGACTCTAGTACCAGATAAATAAGATTTTGATATAAGATAAATATTATTTAATTATCTGATAAATATGACTTCAGTAGCAGATAAATAAGGCTTCATTACCTGATAAATATGACTTCAGTATCAGTTAAATATTATTTAATTATCAGATAAATATGAATCCAGCACCAGATAAATATTATTTAATTATCTGATAAATAAGACTTCAGTACCTGATATATATGACTTCAGTATCAGATAAATATTATTTAATTATCAGATAAATATGAATCCAACACCAGATAAATAATATTTAATTATCTGATAAATAAGACTTCAGTACCTGATAAATATTACTTCAGTACCAGATAAATATTATTACATAATAAGTCATTGTAAAATTTTCTAAGGTAATGATTTATTTGTTATATCATGTACCTGGTACTACAGCCTGTATACTTCCTTGATAAACACACTTTATATTTGTACAGTTTATATCTAGGTATCAACAAACCTTAGAAATGACATTCTTGTTACAAGTAATAATTTGAGGGAATGTCATGGCAGTGCATTATCACATGAATGACATTTGACAAGATAGAATTTCAGGGTTATCATATAAAAGGAAGTTATTGTAATGAAACATGTCTTTAAAAGAATAATTTAGTAAAGATTGAAAACTAGTTGCTCTATGTTTTATGCTTCCTCAAAATTTTGATAGAGTGTTTTAATGTCAAAAAGTGAAACTGAAATTGTTCAGGTCAACATTATAAAATGATCGGCTAATGACACTTTATGTGTTGATGGGCCATTATGATTGTAATGTTAATAATTCCACATGGTCCCTAGTTGTGCATGCATTTAATTTTGAGAATTATCAGTGAAACAAATTGTCAGACAGGTGCCATTTCAGACAGTTGATTTTTGTTATTGTTGTTTCTATTGAAGCACTGGAAGGCTATTTTTCAAACCAATATGTAGGTTCCCCTTTGTCCCTACTTTTTCCCATTCAGTTTAAAGTCAGTTCATTATCAATGTTTCCAATTGATCCTAGTTGTGCCCATTCAATTATTAGACTGACTTTTGAAACAAAATGACCAACAGGCAGCCATCTTGGATTTTGACAATTGAAATTTTGAAAGTCCGAAGTTGTAAGAAAAGGAGGGAAAAATTTTTTAAAAAATAGAGAAAAGATCATTCTTGCATAGAACCAATAAATAAAATAAATAAATAAATAAATAAAAAATAGATCTTTTAAAGACGATACCAGAAGCCCTTGGGAATATCTCGTTACGTATTTATGAAGATGGAAACATATATTACTTACACAGTACAGTGTAGAGTACATTGATCTGAGTTAGATTAACAGATCCTGTTCGACTGTTTGTCATCCATATTCAGAAATATATTGGTGTTTGTACTTTGGAGGTATATAGAAATGACCCAGTTTCACCTGTATAAGTAACATCATGTAGCAAACGTTCATGTCAATCAATATATTGATACGGGCTTCAAACGTTTATATCAATCGATATATTAATACGGGCTACAAACTTTCATGTCGATCAGTATATTGATATGGGCTACAAACTTTCATGTCAATTAATATATTGATACAGGCTTCAAACGTTTATATCAATCGATATATTGATACGGGCTACAAACTTTCATGTCAATCAATATATTGATACAGGCTTCAAACGTTTATATCAATCGATATATTAATACGGGCTACAAACTTTCATGTCAATCAATATATTGATATGGGCTACAAACTTTCATGTCAATCGATATATTGATACCGGCCACAAATATTTATGTTTTGTTACCTAGCCAGTCATTCTGTCTATTTCTTTGTTGATAATAAGTCAATGATCTAGCCATTTTGTAATATATAGAACTTGCAGGGATTTTCAGCTGCTTTCCCTGCTGTATTTTCAGCTGCGTTCCCTGCTTTATTTTCAGCTGCTTTCCCTGCTGTATTTTCAGCTGCTTTCCCTGCTGTATTTTCAGCTGTGTTCCCTGTTGTATTTTCAGCTGCTTTCCCTGCTGTATTTTCAGCTGCGTTCCCTGTTGTATTTTCAGCTGCTTTCCCTGCTGTATTTTCAGCTGCATTCCCTGTTGTATGTTCAGCTGCATTCCCTGCTGTATTTTCAGCTGCGTTGCCTGTTGTATTTTGAATCCATGAAGTGTACTCCTGATAATATAAACCAGGTATACAAGTATTGCATTTCACAAATTTTTGGGGTTTTGTACTATCATTAATTAAGAGTAAAATAAGCTTCCCAGATTCCAGTTTCCTGTAAACAGTAAGCCAGAAGTTTCGAGATCCTGGGACCAGCGAGAGAAACATTTGACCGATATATTGTATCTTGATTAATATAACACCACAGTGTAGAGTCTTTCTCCAGAACTATTGGAGAGCTGGTATCCCTCTCTTACCCAGTGCTTTTCATCCAAAGATTAACAATATTCATGAAGACTTAAGGGTGTATGCTACCACCACCTTTCCACAATAGTTCCAAACTTAATTTTATTGGCCGGGTTGCCCATAGTGCAAATCCGGATTATAGTATGGTGAATGTCGGGTGCACTGCTGGTGGGTGGGTGGGGAAAAGGGGTACCAGTTTTGTAGAATCAACTCCTCCTAGAGTTTTTGACGTAGACACTTGAAACTTTGTAGGATGTTTATGTATATGTTGAAGATGTGCACCTATTAACATAGGATTCATTCTGGAAGTTTTTTCTTGATTTTCCAAGCTTTGGAACTGAGTCATTTTCAACAGTCTGGCTTGGAAAATCCAAGATAGTAGCCTTTGCCTCTCACTGGTTGAGACGTTGTTTTGAGCACGATATATAACATTGCACTTATCCCACAACCTATCCAATTGTGGCTTTGCCCCATTTTGTTTTATAAATGTAGTGATTTTTTCAATTTTTTAATCAAAAGCATGAAAAGTAAACAAGAAATGCTATAAATGATTGCAATCTGTTTAAACATAGATAATTTATATGTTTTCACTAATCAGATGTGTTAAAGAGGAGTTAAATCATACTAGAAGTAACTAGTTCTAGGTAGAGTTTGTGTGTGCCATACACTTCTCAGTAAAGGGAGATAATGCTAAACATCACAAATATATTTGAGGATGTGGCAGATCTCTAAAGATCTAACTCAAACTCACATTTTTGACCTCAGCAGATATGGTAGAATTTATCTTTAAGGGAAATAACTCTTATCAAATTGCAGGCTTATTGTACTTATGGAAGGTACTAGAATTCATAAAATCTCTTGAGACCTGTGCTAACTGGCTGCTAAAAGGCTGTTAAATAATTAATAATAATTTATTTGCATGTGAAGATAAATTAGCTTGAAAGAAACGTGATTTAAGATATATGTATGATAAATGACATGTAATGTGCGACCATTAATAAATGTTATTATTATGGCCATGGAAACAGAAATGTCTAGTAGTCAAATCGACAAATTTTTTTCAGTTGAAATTAAATTGTTATCAGTATTGTAAAAATGCAACATGTTTTGTAAAATATGCATTGTATTTCTTGTGATTGCATTTATCATTGATATAAATGCCATATCTCTACACTCCAAAATGGTGGAATAAATCAATAAATTGACTGATCTTTTGTTAAATTTGGTGTTAACGAAAAATAAGTTATTTCATGTAATTGACAACAAATATCAAGTTATATATGCAACCTGCAATTTAAAAATTCTGTTTTATGTATTTTCAGGAACTGAATCAATAACATGATGTCTTCCATGGGGTTGAGTGGACCAATCTACACTGTTCATCAAGTGCCAGAACATTTCAAGGAGCATTTCATTGTGCGTGGCTACCGCAATCCCAAGAGCACAGCAAAACAGTGTATCCTCAGTGTCTTTGATGCCACAAATGAAACATTTAACTTCTGGACACACTTTCTCCCCTCCTGTTACTTCGTTTGGGTGCTGAAGGGTTTGTCCGAGACCCTCGACTTCAGAAATGATCCGTACACATGGCCATTGTTGGCGTATATGTTCGTGGCTGTGATATTCCCTCTGGCTAGTGCCACTGCTCACACATTCAACACTATGTCCGAAGAAATGCGCCATTTTTGCTTTTTCCTCGACTATGGTGCACTAAGCATTTTCTCACTAGGTGGCGCTATTGCATATCGTGCATATTCATTTCCATCTGTGTTGGTCGATACATGGTTTGGACATAACTTTATCTTCATCGCTACAATGATTTCTGTGATTGCTGTTGTACTGTCCTGTCAGACAAGATTCATGAAACTGAGTTTTTTGCGTAATTTTATACGACTTGGATCTTTTGGCTTTTCATACCTGTTCGATTGTACTCCAATAATGTACCGTCTGATATTTTGTTCTCCCGAGGAATGTGCTTTACCTTCGCAATCCCAGCATGCAAGGCAGTTTGTTTTTGCTTTCAGTGCTGCAATCTTTTTTGCAACACACTTTCCAGAGCGTTTTTACCCAGCAAAGTTTGATATTTTCGGCCACAGTCATCAGCTTTTCCATGTGGCTTCTATTCTGGGAACCATGGACCAAATGCAAGCCATTCTACATGACATGGTGGATCGACGTATGCTGCTTCAGGACAGTTGGTGGTTTCCATCATTTAGTGGTAGTGTCGGTGTCATTGGTGCTGTGATGGCAATTAACACTTGTACCATTGCCTTTTTTTCGTTACGATTAAGAAGTTTCGTGAAATCAACGAAATCATCTTGATCATCATTCCAACATTAATGCAATGAATTTGCTGAATTTGTCAGAAGGCAATATTGTGATACATAGAGTTTATATTCCATTGTAAGATAATTCCTTTTTTATACAAACTTTTATTTTGTACTATGTTTGTGATAGACCTCTCTGTGTTTCTTAGTCTACTCTGACTTTAATAGAAATGTCAACATTTGTGATTTGTCTTGATGTCACAACAAGTGGTTAGATAGGGTTAACTGATACTGAATCTCAATTTATACAATGTATTTAAAGAATCAATTACTATGTTAAAGATCATTGTCAGCAACATATATTCTGAACTATGTTGAGGATATTTACTGAAAAATTGATTAAATTGAGTATTACATTGACCTTGGAATTCCGAGGATGTTTGGATAGAGAAATAGATAGAAATTGATATGTTGATATATCATTTTGTCTAATTGTATGAAAATTGTTACTTTTTTTTCTGCTATGTTAAGAAAATGAATGTTGAAATTACCTGTTATTATTATAATATTATTTACTTCTCATGAATATTCATCATATTGTGATTTTACTTCTCATGAATATTCATCATGGAGTTTTTTTTTTTTTTTTTTTTTACTTCTCATGAATATTCATCATAATGTTATTTTACTTCTCATGAATATTCATCATAATGTTATTTTACTTCTCATGAATATTCATCATAATGTTATTTTACTTCTCATGAATTTTCATCATAATGTTACTTTAATTCTCATGAATATTCATCATAACATATACCAGGTAGCTACAGTTTTTTTTCTACAAAATTCACTTCTTGTATGACTGTAACCACATGATCACATTGTTTATAGATACAGCAGTACCTATAGCTCAATAAACATCGTAATCAACTTTTCATTATTGATAAAAATAGCAATACATATGGGCAGTATCACACAAAATAATAGTGTGAATACACAAAGCTTTTACTGTAGAACACTGTTACCATAAACACTGTTACTATGAAACAATTTTGCTACACAATTTTAAATACTAAACAATGTTACCATACAAAATGGTAATTTGGAACATTGTCAAAATGCAAAATTTTTACTACTGAACATTGTAACTACACAATTTTTACCACTGAATGTCATTACCATACAAAATTGTTACTATAGAGAAATGTTACTAAGCAATGTTGTTACTATATACAAAATGTAATTCTGGAAAACCACTACTGTATAAATTATGGAACATTGTTACTATGCAACCTATGTTACCATAAAAAATTGTAACTATGCAACATTGAATTTGTATCAGTGACTGCTATCAGGGAACATTGTTACACAGTCTAGTGTTACTAGATAATCTTGTTACCATAGACTTAGCTATGTGGGAACATTGTAACACAGTTGAGTGTTACTAGATAGTCTTGTTACTAAGACTTAGCTATCAAGGAACATTCTTACACAGTCTCATGTTACTAGATAGTCTTGTTACCATAAACCTTGCTATGGGGGTACATTGTAACACAGTCTAGTGTTAATAGATAGTCTTGTTACTGGAACATTGTTACATAGTCTTGTGTTACTAGATAGTCTTGTTACCATAGACTTTGCTATGGGGGAACATTGTTACATAGTCTTGTGTTACTAGGTAGTCTTGTTACCATAGACTTTGCTATGGGGGAACATTGTTACACAGTCTTGTGTTACTAGATAGTCTTGTTACCATAGACCTTGCAATGGGGGAACATTGTTACATAGTCTTGTGTTACTAGATAATCTTGTTACCATAGACTTTGCTATTTGAGCATATTGATACACTCCTTTTTTTAATACTTTTTTTATTTTTTTTATTTTCCAGAGCAGATATTTTTAATAAGATAATCAACTTAAACAACATGGTATAATCAATTGATAGAACTTAGATATCAAAAGATTTTTACGGAAATGTGGTCAAAGCCTGCCTTAAGATGTCAGAGAAAATTGTAAGATATAGATCTATTAGGATCACTTGCTTGGTTTCTTTTTGTTGAATCAATCAGGTGTTTTGATGTTTTGTTATATTTTTATAAATCATGTTGTTTAGAAATTTTACATTCTCTCATTTTGACTCTAGGAGATATCATTAGATCTGTATTTAGTGACCAGCCATCAATAACAAATCCTTCATGATATTTTTACTCCGTATTTTTGTGATAAATTCCCATTTAGTTGATTACTACAGCTTACATTACTTATCTGTCCTGGTAAACTTAGACATGTCTTCAATGTTTAACACAAGCAATCATTTTTTATTATGTTTTCTACATGTAATCAGATGGTCACTTTGTATAATCATATTTTTATCATTTTTCATTTCTTTGTTCTTCAGACTTATGCAATTGAATGTTTCCTAGTTTTAAATATTTTGCCAAAATGTTTTCTATGTTAACTGGCCTAAGTGCTTGTTCATATCATCTTTCTACTGTGAGTGTGTTTTGCACATTTACAAGCTATTCTCAGAATTCTCTATGACCAGACAGATTCTGTTTACTGTTGTAAATGTGCCTTAAAACTTGTCATATATTTTTGGTAAATATTCATAAATATACATATAAATGTAGAGTTCCTGAAAGGGGAAACAACTCATCTCAATGAGTGAAGCTTGGAAGAGTTACTCCCCCTTCATCGATCTCGCATATATTTAATTAATATTTTTCACAAATTTCAATAAAACAAACCAGCTTTAGAGCTGCTTCAAAAATGCATAAACAGAGTGTCATAATTAACATGTATTGTATAGCATCAGCTTTTATATATAAAAAAATACAAGAAAGAGGAAACTGGTCTTTGCTTGCTATTGTAATATTTTGATAATATGATCTGTTGATTTTTGAATTATTTTGTATTATGTACAACTTGGTGCCTTCCTTCTACATAAAAATTTAAATGTACCAAACCGTTTTATATCTATTTACATATTCAAAGTGTATAAAAAACTTTCAGTTTAAACTACGCCTTTTTTATACTCATAATATAGAATGTATGAACTGTGACTGCTGTAGTTTTGTGTACAGTTTTCAGGATTTATGTTTTTGTACTGGGATGTATGCTCCTGTCATTACTTAATTAAGGCAGAAATTTAATTCTATTGACATCAGATTTCTATGTACCCAAAGAAAACATTCACAAAATGTGAAACATTTCGAATTGATCTGTTTGTTTCACCATGAATTGAGTGTTAGATTTTATTTATCATTTTTTCTAATGTAAACAAATAACTGAAAAACTCTTCAAAACATATCCTCATAAAATAGGGGATGCTTGATTACCAAGATGTTACTGTGTGACATTGGTAGGTAAAATATTAATTGTGAGATATTTTCTATATTTAGCCTCAAATTATAACATGATGGGCAGAGAATTTTTGTGACAAATCAGCACCTGAGACAAAAGCCTGCTGGTGACCTATTGCGATCACCTTTTGCATCGTGCATCTGTTAACTTTTAACATTTTTCATCTTCTCAAAAACCCTTGAATAATGAAATTTTGCAGAAGCCTTCCCTTGCCTAAGATGAACTAAAACAGAGATTATATGGTCCCCATCAGCCAGGGGTTGGAGGGACAGGACCAAAAGGGGTCAGATTGACTCAAATTTAAAAAATATTCTCTACACCCAGATATGGTAGAATCAAATGCTCATATGGTTGGAAGCTCCTTATGGTGCCTTACCAAAATTGTCAATTTCAAGGCTCCCTAGTCCAACATTGCCCTGTGGGGAGAGGGTAAAATTTACTATAATTCATATTGTAAAAATAGATTTTAAAGCATAATATCTTTAATTTCCATTGGAAATATTTCATACTTGATTAGAATTATTAGTGAAGGATGACGGCTTGATGTTATATTCATATTGATCCTGGCTAACCCTCAGGGGCTGATGTGCAGGGCCAATCAGTATCAAATTGACTTAAATTTCAAAAATCTTTTTCTCATCACCCAGATATAATATAATAAATGCTCTTCATGGATGAAAGCATCTTAGGTGCTTAACCAAAATTGGCCTCACATTTCTCCCATGGGAAGGAGGTAAACTTTACCATGAGTTTGATAGACTTGTTGAGTACTCAAAGAGTAGAAATAGAAATAGAAATAAGTTAGTAAGAATTATAGGATGGCAGTTTTGTTGGAATGCATGTGTTGACACTGGCTTACTGTCATCAATGTCACAATTTCTGTTTCATGACACTTGAAAGCTACTCGCCATCAAACCTTTATATCCAATATTGCTGATCTCAGGTGACCATCAAGGCCACTATATTAATCATAAAATTATAAAAATGTATTAAACAGCAATAGATTTCCTCTTTTTGTTAAAGGATTCTTTTTTTAGATTCTCTACTGATAATTGTGCATTACCAGAAAGTTGTGTTTATAGAGAGTTTATGTTAAAATTCCTACCCATATCGGAGTGTCACAGAAAGTTGTGTTTATAGAGAATTTCTGTTAAAATTCCTACCCATATCGGAGTGTCACAGAAAGTTGTGTTTATAGAGAGTTTATGTTAAAATTCCTACCCATATCGGAGTGTCACAGAAAATTGTGTTTATAGAGAGTTTGTGTTAAAATTCCTACCCATATCGGAGTGTCACAGAAAATTGTGTTTATAGAGAGTTTATGTTAAAATTCCTACCCATATCGGAGTGTCACAGAAAATTGTGTTTATAGAGAGTTAGTGTTAAAATTCCTACCCATATCGAAGTGTCACAGAAAATTGTGTTTATAGAGAGTTTGTGTTAAAATTCCTACCCATATCGGAGTGTCACAGAAAATTGTGTTTATAGAGAGTTTGTGTTAAAATTCCTACCCATATCGGAGTGTCACAGAAAGTTGTGTTTATAGAGAGTTTATGTTAAAATTCCTACTCAAAGCTGTTTTTGACAGTAAGGTTTCTTTGTACAGTTTATTATTAATATTGGTGATCGAGAATTTTATGTTTTAAGAGTTGAATTTAATATCAGAGCAATATTGGTGCCTGTGTGAACAAACCACAAAGGAACTTAATACAGCCAAATTTATCACAGATAATCATTGTATTTATTTTCTTAACAAACATGCCAATATTTGAATTTTAACCATGTAGTTTTGATTTAACATGAAATGTATGTCTGAGTGCTTATTTATACACTGTAGGTTCATTGTATTGGGACGTACATGTACAGGAATCTCGGAGATGTGTAGAAATATATACTTATTGGTGGCAAAGATATACACTCTATTTGTATTCTGAAGAAAAGATGTGCAAGTTTTCTCATTGTTCAGTTTCCAAGACATTTGTGTAATTGTTAAGGAATTTTGATAAAATTCTTATTTTTTTCACTTTGAGAAAAAGTTGGATTATAACAATTTTTGAAAAACTGAAATGATCACACAACAGAATTTTTCATGAATAAAGTTGAAACGAGAAGAGAAACATTTGGAATGTATTAGGCAGGTCCCAGTGATTATGTCTGTAAATAATGTTATAATATTGAAGTACTTTCCTACATCTGTTGAGTTTAGATTAGTAAAAGAATGGTCACTGACAGATGAATTATATGTCTATATTTACATATGGTTATTTAGGACTTTTGTTTGATTTTGTCAAACTTAAAAAAATTCAAGAAGAAAAAAATGAGAATCTGAGAAACACATCACAAGTCCACCTATTTACTAGATTTTTGTAGAAGTGATACGTACTACAGTATAGTGGGATTTTTTTAACATATTTTTTGTGATTTCAGCGACCCTTTCATAACTACAAAAAATTCAGATTGCAAAATTTACATGTTTTCTCGTTATTGTAAATGTGACTTACCTACATGTACCTGAGGACTCTCCAGTCGTGTAATACATCTATAGAGCTGATGTACTTACATGTACCTGAGGACTCTCCAGTCGTGTAATACATCTATAGAGCTGATGTACTTACATGTACCTGAGGACTCTCCAGTCGTGTAATACATCTATAGAGCTGATGTACCTACATGTACCTGAGGACTCTCCAGTCGTGTAATACATCTATAGAGCTGATGTACCTACATGTACCCGAGGACTCTCCAGTCATGTAATACATCTATAGAGCTGATGTACCTACATGTACCCGAGGACTCTCCAGTCGTGTAATACATCTATATAGCTGATGTACCTACATGTACCTGAGGACTCTCTAGTCGTGTAATATATCTATATAGCTGATGTACCTACATGTACCTGAGGACTCTCTAGTCGTGTAATATATCTATATAGCTGATGTACCTACATGTACCTGAGAACTCTCTAGTTGCGTGATACATCTATAGAGCTGATGTACCTACACGTATCTGACCACTTTCTAGTTGTAAATACTTCTGTTATAGATAAATATTAGTGGGTATGTAAATCTTTTATCTAGTGTGACTAGTTGTTTAGATCTTCAGTAGATTTTAGAATCTACACTGGTATATATGTCCATTCTTATGTATTGAAAGTCTTCAAAAGTCGCTTTTCATATTTCTAAGACAATGAAATCACACAATATGAAATACGTATAACTTGAAATACGCAAAGAATGCATGTTGGGGATTTTCACAAAAAATCACAACATCAAAATATCCTGATATATGTTAATTGGACAAACCATTAAAACACGATATTATTTCTCCAACAAGCAGCTGTGATTCTTAGAAACATTGCAATAGTATGATGATCACTTGATAACATGTTAAAAGTTTTTTGTATTTAACGTAGGACTCATTTAAATTTTCAATATTTTTTATTTAATATACAACATTTACCGTTGAAGAGAAGTGCTATTTAAGTTCTGTAACACATTGAGTATATTGTCAAGATGTCTGTTCACTGCTTATCACAGTTCATAAACAATGGTTTCAAACTACAATGTCTATTCGAGATTTTTTTTCAAGCTTTCTATTCTTTTCTGGACCAAATCCTAATTTTTTTTCCCACAACTTTTGACTTAAAAATAAGACAAGTTTCTGTATTCTTTTTTCTTAAATTTTAGAAAAAAATGGAAAAACTTGAATCCATCTATGGAATTACAATGCCGTTTTTTAACTATTAAGTGCATTTGCCCCTATAAATGCACCCTTGCCTTTATTCAGGGAAAGAGAATGGATGTGCTGATGAAAAAGATGTTTTCCTCACTGATCTGTCAATACGATCTCCAGTCTTTAACAGCTACATAAATGGTTTATTCAGCACATCCCTTTTGTGTTTTTTTAAGTGCACAGTGTGCGTATTAGGTCAAACATGGTATAAAGAACCAAACAGTTGAAGAAAAACTTCTGTAGTTCAAATTTTGAAGTTGTTTTAGTTAGAAATGTCAATAATTGGCCTGTTAATCAGTGATAGAACAGCTTGATTTATATACTTCAGGGTAGGAGGTGTTAAATTTGTTATAATGTAATTTATTATATCACAAGATGATAATAAAATACATCACCATTACACTTCGTGAGTCATTTTGTTTTTTTGATCATACAAAGTCTAAATGTAATAAACCATATTTATCCACCAATAAGTCTATGTCTGTTAACAAGCCCACTCGTACATAATACAGTTCAAATTAATGATGTTTATGCTGGCCAATAAAAAGTCTGACCTCTGACCCTTGATGATAATTTGTAAGTGGTCATTAATGTTATTTATGTTGGCCAGTTTAAAGTCTGACCTCTGACCTTTGATGATAATTTGTAAGTTGGCTCTCTGGACTTATTTTAGAGTAATTATATTAATTGATCTTTTTGAGATCGAATGGTCCTTTCTAAGGATATCAACATCTTAATGGCTGTCCTTTCTAAGGATATCAACATCTTAATGGCTGTCCTTTCTAAGGATATCAACATCTTAATGGCTGTCCTTTCTAAGGATATCAACATCTTAATGTCTGTCCTTTCTAAGGATATCAACATCTTAATGGCTGTCCTTTCTAAGGATCTCAACATCTTAATGGCTGTCCTTTCTAAGGATCTCAACATCTTAATGGCTGTCCTTTCTAAGGATCTCAACATCTTAATGGCTGTCCTTTCTAAGGATATCAACATCTTAATGGCTGTCCTTTCTAAGGATATCAACATCTTAATGGCTGTCCTTTCTAAGGATATCAACATCTTAATGGCTGTCCTTTCTAAGGATATCAACATCTTAATGGCTGTCCTTTCTAAGGATATCAACATCTTAATGGCTGTCCTTTCTAAGGATCTCAACATCTTAATGGCTGTCCTTTCTAAGGATATCAACATCTTAATGGCTGTCCTTTCTAAGGATATCAACATCTTAATGGCTGTCCTTTCTGAGGATATCAACATCTTAATGGCTGTCCTTTCTGAGGATCTCAACATCTTAATGGCTGTCCTTTCTGAGGATATCAACATCTTAATGGCTGTCCTTTCTGAGGATATCAACATCTTAATGGCTGTCCTTTCTAAGGATATCAACATCTTAATGGCTGTCCCTGCACTCTCCATCAAAAAATAATTAAATCATTAATCTGTGGTCTTTGTTGACAAAAATATGTTATGAACGGGACAAACAATTTCAGATTATTTTGTAGATTAAAAACATCAACTTCATGTTTGTAAAGTTGTCTCTTTATTCTAAATTCATACCTTGAGTCTGCTACTTTATAAATACTTAGGTTGAAATAAAAAAAGTAGAGACCAAAACCCAGTTTGTGCATATATTTATTACAATGTACATAAATATAAACTTTATTTATTTTACAACAGTTGCAAAACAACCTATTTTAACTAATTACATTTGTTGGGGTCTTAATCTGGGAGGAAACCAGAGTATTTGGGGAAAACACACGTTGTCAGGCAGGTGACCCCTTACCCTCATGTCCATTTAGGGAACTGAACCCCAGATGGCTAGATAAAGGGCAGACAAGTGTGTTACCACCATGCCACCCAACCACAATGTATACAGGTGAAAAACACATTGATGTAAGAAGGAAAGAAGAAATCAGACAAACTCAATAAATAAAACAACAGCATCAATTTATATAAAACTGTAAGATCAGAAGTGTCTTATGTCCCTTTATATACCTAACACTTGGGTGTAAGAAATCTTCTCTAATCAACATGCCTATTGGAGAAGCATCAAACGTAAACATACAAAACAACAATAATCCCTTGCTACTTATTCTAATTTTTCTTAGGCTGAAAATGGACACTATATATATATATAGATCAATATTTTTTGTTTGTTTTGTTTTATTTTACCTTGTTGTTCACAGTTAACTCAGATAAAATTGGACCTTTTTTAAACTCTTCAATCAACACTGCAGGTGTTTCCTCTAGATAGATGTAATGGTTTTAAAATGAAGAAAATAGATGTTCATCGATTTTTTTTTTTAACTTTGAACCATGATTAACCAGGCTTAAACAGCAGTCTTTATGCATGCCTTAAAGTTCAACTCCATTTCTTCTCAATTGTGTCGATTCCGTGCAAGTTGGTGAATTCTCTTCAAACTTTTCAATCATTAGATCTCCTAATTAGGGTTTTAATTGTCATGACTCTGAAAGGTCGGTAATTAGTGAGTTTAAATCAAAGCAAAATGTTAAAGATGTTGTCTGAAGCCATTGAGCAATTAGGAATTTAGTGGTTTCAATAATGATTTTGTTTATGATATCCAATATAAAATATTTCATTTCAATTATTTCTAGGATCGCCTTAAAATTTTAATTAGATACTTGAACTCAAAGGTATACTTTTATCTAAATCTCCTGAACGACATAAAATTTATGTGAATCAACAATTCAATATCTAGATCTATACAACATTTTATTGCAAACAGTTTTGAAATAATTGGAAAATGGCGCCAAAGATACGTCACCAACTTTTCGGAAGTCTTCTGGATTTATTATTTCCAAGGTGAAGGTTATTCAAGACTTTCCCAAGATGCTGTCGACAACACGAGTTCAGGGAATCCTAACTGTAAGTTTTCATTTTGTTTGTTAATAAGAAAAATCATCCAAATAGTTCGTGTTTGAGGTTGCCCAGTACTTATGTTATCACAATATTGCAATCGTTCGATAGCGCTCTCTGCCTCAAGTGATGCATTTTAGAAAAATAACCACGTGAATTTTTCCAACGGTATCGAACGGGTGACCTATATCGATACGTAACTCGTTGTTAAGGAAGAAAATGCTATTATCGCTTAGAAAAGTGTTGCTTTGAAAAATGAATTATTTTATTTAGGTCACACCATCATGATATGAATATTTTCCTTTGAAAATAAATGGACAGTTTACGTAACCATCATTTTACCGGTGACACGTTAAGGGCATGTCAAACTCATTTGCATACCGGTGTAAACTGACAGCACATGGTTTTTAAATTATGTTGCAAGGAAATGTGTCTGTAATAATTTTAACTGAAGAAGTATGTGTGTTTTTAATAGTCACTTACGTCCAGATAATATACATTGCAATTTCTTTTTAAACATATTGAAAGAAAACTTTTTCAAGAGCGTTACAATATTCTATATTTAGACAAATGATTGGCATGACCCATGAAGTAGCGGAAAAAAAGTCACGTGATTTTTTTTATAACCGAATTGTGGCTTGAAAGTTTTGGCCACATGGTCACAGTTTCTCATGTATTATCATCATGTGTAATGGAATGCAAATATACAGTTTAAGCAAATGAAGAAAGTGATTTGACAAAAATCATTTACAAATGTACATATATCATATTACAAAGCTTGGCTGAGATATGTAGCCAGTCACCATGCTTGCTCTACTCCAACCAGATAGTTTTCTCTGAATGAAACTTGGTATACTGAAAACTCTGCTTAAAGCTCAAATTGTTCATGATGCAGTTGTTTAGGATGCTTTCTTTTTATCTACACAGTGTAGGTACCAAACCTAAATAATAATGTAGTATAGGTTTTGTGATAAATTCTCAACTTTTTAAAGATTTTTTTGACAATTTTATGGAGAAGAGCTTTTATAACAGTAAGGATTTGTTATGTAGACAAATTTGTGATTATTTTTAGGGCATTAATCCATTATCACTAACCACTATGAAATTTTGTGTTAATTGTATAGATACAATAGAATGTACTTAATTGTTATTGTCTATTTATTTTTGGTTGACCTAATATCAACATCATTCAGCTTTCTTTCTAAAATTGTAACTTTACTTGTATTGGACTTAAATTATCCTCGTCATTTTCTTGGGTTATCTTGTTTTTAGCATTAAATATTTAAAAATGTCAATAACCAAGTATAGTTTTAGAATTAGGAAATTCATTGAGTGTGACCATTGTTTGTGTCAAAATTCATTGATAGGGTCACACAGGGACTGATTAAATGCTTCTCTATTAGTCATGCTAATAAGTCGGCATAAAGTTATTCTACTGGTCCTGCCACAGACAGAACACTGTTCGTTGTTAGGCCTTGGTGGTTTACTGGTCCTGCCACAGACAGAACACTGTTCGTTGTTAGGCCTTGGTGGTTTACTGGTCCTGCCACAGACAGAACACTGTCTGTTGTTAGGCCTTGGTGGTTTTTCGGTCCTGCCACAGATAGAACACTGTCTGTTGTTAGGCCTTGGTGGTTAACTGGTCCTGCCACAGACAGAACACTGTCCGTTGTTAGGCCTTGGTGGTTTACTGGTCCTGCCACAGACAGAACACTGTCTGTTGTTAGGCCTTGGTGGTTTACTGGTCCTGCCACAGACAGAACACTGTCTGTTGTTAGGCCTTGGTGGTTTACATGGTGAAATTTGGTATTTGGGGGTGGAAGGCTATTCATAGATACAAATTTAATATAGAAGAGAGTTGTTTACATGTTTTGACTCAAAGGCCAGGACAAATATCAACAGAGAGGTAAAGTAATAGACATCTTATTTACTGGTGTTTTACCTTTAAATGATTTGTAGCTAGAGATCAAGTATTTAGTCAAGAGAAAACACTTCAGTCTAGCTACAATATACCAGACAGGTGCTGCCCATGTCAAGCTGACGTAAGGGAAGAATGATAAGGCATTGTGACTACCCACAAGTCCTCGAAAATCAATAACATAGCACAAAATTGTGACAGCAAATTAGAACAAAACTTAATACTGTGGGTAAAAAGAACCTTGATGTCGGCTATTCACTATTCAAAAATCACACTGATGTTGCCTTTATACAAATTCATGTAGAAAAGATTACAAGTGTAGGGCGTAACTTTAGAATTGATTAGCGCTGACGCTGAGAAATCAGTAAACTTTACTACTTGTCTGAACAGGTCTGTCTATTGTGTACGAAGCAAATTATGTAATCTGAAAGTTGTTTAAGTGTTTATTTTGGTTGAATGTTGAATTTCTCTCTGACTTTATAAGAGTCATCTGTGATGTAAATACCTGTTCAATAATGACAATTATAAATTTTGGCCAAACGCTTTAGTTATAATGAAATTTGTTTTGGTAAAGTCCCAGCAAATTGATTGTTTAAATTTCAAACTGAAAAAAGAATATTCAAACTACTGTAGATAGCTCCAGTTGTGAAGGACAAATGAAGAACAAAAATTAAATACTGCTTCTGTTGTTCACAACAATATCAGAGTGAAATAGTACAATGTACTGCCAGTTTGGGAATAAGTTTTTCTTAAAGAAGCACATATCCTATAAACACAAATTGTACCAATCTATAATCTCATCAAAACTGGAGCACAATCACTGAATATTTATATTTGTTTACAGGCTGCCTGCAGATCTCATTCCATGCGGAATGTGGCTCGGGCACTGTGGACCGGGAAGGATTCCCTCGCGGAGGACGACCCTGACATGATGGCTATTATAAAGAGAGAGAAGGTCCGACAGGTCAGCGGCTTGGAGCTGATTGCATCAGAGGTGAATTTATTACTTATTGCTTTACATTTACAGCCAAGGTCATATCAAAATGTGCCAGATGTGAGTGGCCAAGGTTGGGGCCAGGGTTAATATTCACAGAAGTTCATGGTCAGGGACATATAGTGTTTTCCTTGTCTGTCATTCCATCCTATTTTTGTTTCCCAGGGAAACCCCAACATGGTCCAATAGGTGACCCTTAAAACCTTTTCACATCTGTTTGGGGAATCCAATTCCAGATGTCAAGTTGAAAGTCAATTGTTATACCACTACGCCCCTGACTATAATGAGTAAAGAACTAGTAGACGCCGAAGTAAAGAAGAGATCGTAATCTTTCCAACCTTAAAAATAATTGAGGAATGGCTATAAAAATACAAAATTCTTGCCAAACTTTCTTTCTTTGTTCTTTAAAAATGTGATTTTGTCTTGTGTGGAAATTGGCTAAATATATTGTATACATTAATAAATATCTTGCCTAACAGAACTTTGCCAGTCGAGCAGTAATGGAGGCCCTGGGTTCCTGTCTCACAAACAAGTACTCTGAAGGATACCCTGGAGCTCGGTGAGGGAACCTCTCAAAAAACATTTTTTCTTAAGGCTGCAAGAATTTTCAAGAGTTATAAGAGTTAAATGTTTACAGCCCATTATTTTGAAGAAAAAAAACAGATCTTCAGTTATTGTATTTCCAATTGAAAATTAGTGAAAGATTTTACAATTTTTATATGAAGAGTAGATATTCTCATTACCAGTAAATTTTTGGGCAGATTTTGAAAGAAAATGAATCTTATATCATATTGTTATTGCATATAAATTGCAAGTTGATAATATTGTACAATTGCGTATTTGAACTGCAGGTACTATGGTGGGAATCAGTTCATTGATGAGGTTGAGAGACTCTGTCAACAAAGGGCACTGGAAGTATTCCGTCTCGATCCAGAACAGTGGGGTGTCAACGTCCAGCCGTACTCTGGTAGTCCAGCCAATTTTGAGGTGTTTACTGGAGTCCTGAAGCCACATGACCGTATAATGGGACTTGATCTGCCAGACGGTGGACAGTAAGTATATCAGTCCTGTTATTATCGTTTTATATTATGGTGTTGATTGAACTGTATAACTGCACTACTTCCTTAGTAATTTAATGATGACGTCGTCATCTATTGTTATAATCACATGACCCACATTGTCATACCTAACTTCATGTGCACCATGTAAGCTGTGCTGTGATGACAAACATCTCGGCTACCAGCTGTGAAAGATCAATTTTTGTTGGAGGTGGGATGGGGTATTTAGGCCTGGAAGCCTCTCTGAGCCATTTGGTACATACTCAGGTGGGTGAGGGGGTGGGGGGTTGGGGGTTGGGGGTGGGATTGTTTAGGCCTGGAAGCCTCTCTGAGCCATTTGGTACATACTCAGGTGGGTGAGGAGGTGGGGGGTTGGGGGTTGGGGGTGGGATTGTTTAGGCCTGGAAGCCTCTCTGAGCCATTTGGTACATACTCAGATGTATATATCAGGAAATACTAAACTGATCAAACTTAACATGGGTTATCATACTCCTGGATTTCATGGGCTAGAGTTATAAAGAAAAGCAATTACAAAGGGTATTTCACATTTTTAATTAAACCACAGTATTTGAACCCAGCATATACACATTATTTTACAACAGGAAAACAGTACAGTACAGTAAGTGTTATGTTTCATCATTATTTAATACGTTGATTATCTAATGCTTATGTAGAATAATGTTCAACCAATTGTTCAGATGGAATAAGAATTCAATTTCATCATCCTTTTATTGATTAGAAGGGTTAGGGTACATATATCATTACTGATGTTGGTCTGTAACATCTGTTACCAAATCAACAGATTCATCACATAGTATACTGACAACATCAAGTTCTACACCTGATCTGATGACTTGGTTCATCACATAGTATACTGACAACATCAAGTTCTACACCTGATCTGATGACTTGGTTCATCTCATAGTATACTAACAACATCAAGTTCTACACCTGATCTGATGACTTGGTTCATCTCATAGTATACTAACAACATCAAGTTCTACACCTGATCTGATGACTTGGTTCATCTCATAGTATACTAACAACATCAAGTTCTACACCTGATAAGATGACTTGGTTCATCTCATAGTATACTAACAACATCAAGTTCTACACCTGATAAGATGACTTGGTTCATCTCATAGTATACTAACAACATCAAGTTCTACACCTGATAAGATGACTTGGTTCATCTCATAGTATACTAACAACATCAAGTTCTACACCTGATAAGATGACTTGGTTCATCTCATAGTATACTGACAACATCAAGTTCTACACCTGATCTGATGACTTGGTTCATCTCATAGTATACTAACAACATCAAGTTCTACACCTGATCAGATGACTTGGTTCATCTCATAGTATACTAACAACATCAAGTTCTACACCTGATCTGATGACTTGGTTCATCTCATAGTATACTAACAACATCAAGTTCTACACCTGATCTGATGACTTGGTTCATCTCATAGTATACTAACAACATCAAGTTCTACACCTGATCTGATGACTTGGTTCATCTCATAGTATACTGACAACATCAAGTTCTACACCTGATAAGATGACTTGGTTCATCTCATAGTATACTAACAACATCAAGTTCTACACCTGATAAGATGACTTGGTTCATCTCATAGTATACTGACAACATCAAGTTCTACACCTGATCTGATGACTTGGTTCATCACATAGTATACTAACCACATCAAGTTCTACACCTGATAAGATGACTTGGTTCATCACATAGTATACTAACAACATCAAGTTCTACACCTGATCTGATGACTTGGTTCATCACATAGTATACTAACAACATCAAGTTCTACACCTGATAAGATGACTTGGTTCATCACATAGTATACTAACCACATCAAGTTCTACACCTGATCTGATGACTTGGTTCATCTCATAGTATACTGACAACATCAAGTTCTACACCTGATCTGATGACTTGGTTCATCACATAGTATACTGACAACATCAAGTTCTACACCTGATAAGATGACTTGGTTCATCACATAGTATACTGACAACATCAAGTTCTACACCTGATAAGATGACTTGGTTCATCTCATAGTATACTGACAACATCAAGTTCTGCACCTGATAAGATGACTTGGTTCATCACATAGTATACTGACAACATCAAGTTCTGCACCTGATCTGATGACTTGGTTCATCACATAGTATACTGACAACATCAAGTTCTACACCTGATCTGATGACTTGGTTCATCACATAGTATACTGACAACATCATGTTCTACACTTGATCTGATGACTTGGTTCATCACATAGTATACTGACAACATCAAGTTCTACACTTGATCTGATGACTTGGTTCATCTCATAGTATACTGACAACATCAAGTTCTGCACCTGATAAGATGACTTGGTTCATCACATAGTATACTGACAACATCAAGTTCTGCACCTGATCTGATGACTTGGTTCATCACATAGTATACTGACAACATCAAGTTCTACACCTGATCTGATGACTTGGTTCATACTTATCTCATAGAATACTAACATTTTGTTGATGCAGGTGTATGTATAACATTTCTGTGACATTTCAACCCAATCACATGGTATACAATTGTGCTTCAATACTGGGAGTCTGCATTAGAGTGAAGTGTTGACCTACATCTGCTGGGGTGGAGATGCATTATTCATGTCTCCCTGTCGTATTTCTCCCGGAGCTGAATAACTGACTGTCCCCTGCTGTGGATGGTCGTATCCTCTTGTAAGACCTTTACCAGGTGTGCTCTGAATGGTATAGAATCGGCCTCCTGTTGTTCAGTCAGGTACATCCAACCGTTACTAAAAGGAAACCCTACATCAAATGACTTTTGGTCTTTACATGGGATTAGACCCAGCAAACAGACAAAAAATATAAGCTTTATTTATTTTCTACAGTTGTGACAAATTATTGCAACCTTTACTAATCCCTTTTGTTAGCCTGTATGTCAGTAGTGAGGGGTATTACTGACAACATAAACTTTATTTATTTTCTACAGTTGTGACAAATTATTGCAACCTTTACTAATCCCTTTTGTTAGCCTGTATGTCAGTGGTGAGGGGTATTACTGACAACATAAACTTTATTTATTTTCTACAGTTGTGACAAATTATTGCAACCTTTACTAATCCCTTTTGTTAGCCTGTATGTCAGTAGTGAGGGGTATTACTGACAATAAAAAATTTATTTATTTTCTACAGTTGTGACAAATTATTGCAACCTATACTAATCCCTTTTGTTAGCCTGTATGTCATTGGTTAGGGGTATTACTGTGAGAGGAAACAGGGAAAACACATGTGGACAGGTGACCCCCGACCTTTTCACATCTGTTTCAGGTATCAAACCATGGACAGCTTGGTGAAAGGCATTACAGCTGCACCACCTGACCACTCGAAACAAACACATCTTTAACACATCAGGGGCTGTGTAGAATCCTTTACATACATATTTGTTATCAAAATAAAGAAAGATGTGTAGAATATTAAATCTGTGGTGGATAGCATTTTGTAAAAGAGAAATAAGAGCATTATTTAAAAAGGAATATCCTTTTCATTTTGTTTAGCTGCAGTGATTGATCTGTTTCAGTTTGACCCATGGTTTCCAGACTGACACTAAAAGAATTTCTGCCACCTCTATCTACTTTGAATCCATGCCTTACAGAATTAATGTAAGTATCCTCACATTGGCTTCAATGAGCAGGAATTAATCTAGACAAATTTTACTCTGGAAAATGGAAGTTTTCCCCAACTGGTATGTTTTCCCTCGGAATATAAACAAATTCCTCATAAATAAAATATACAGAAAAATTTGGATAAATTCCCCAATATAGAGAAAACTTTCCCCAAACAGAGCTAATCAGAATAATTTTACTTAACAAAATGATTCTATCAAGAAAAAAAACCCATCTAAACTCAACATTATCATATCCTATTCATGTATCTCATGTAGTTTTACCAGATCCTTCTTTTGAATTATGACCAAAAGGGCTATCCAAAATAGTATACCGGTACATCTCGTCCACATTCTAAATGAGGAACTGATTAAAAATAAGAAAATTTATTGTGAAAAATGTACATGTAGTTACTAGAAAAAGTAATTTGATCAAAAATCAAAATGGACTACATTGTACTGGTAGTACCAAAGTAGGCTGTACTTCATTTAAAATATCAGTAAAAACCCTTACAGAATAGTAGAATAAAAGTATGAGTGTGATGTTTCCATGACTACACGGTCGGCTTCATCTTATAACACAATCACTGGAAGATATGAGTGTTACGTTTCCATGACTACACAGTCACCTTCATCAATGTAAAGTGTTTTTAGATGTCACACAAACAAAAACCATTTTTGTACTTTAATACTAATGCCTTTGTGAGAAAGTAAAACAGGACGAAATGTTCTGTAGGTTATGTAAGATAAAGATTAAATCATTTCAGATTCAAATTCATTCCATATGGTACAAGGCATTTGATTGGTCAAAGAAAAAATCATTTTTGGCAAGCAGGATATGCCATTCGAAAATTTCTGTTAATGAGAGTAGTGATGGGAACTGACCCTGACACAGAATGAAAATATCATTAATGTCACTGACATTCTTTTTTCACTTTGAATGTTACTCTTGTCAAAAAAAAAGAATAATAAAGATAAAAATAAAAAACTGCTGAATTGATTGACAACTTTGAGCACATAAATGACAAAACGATTATTCCTCAGTATATGTAATTACATATGTTGTCTATATTTTCTGCAGAAGTTTGATTGACATACCCTAAAATACATTTTAAGTTCTATTGAAGTTATCATTTTGATTCTGGAAAGTCTGTTGGAAGTGTTAAAGGACTTTCTTGTTCAACAGAGCAAAACTAAGGCAGATGGGAGTAAACATGTACGTGAATTCACTTCTCTGCATGTATTGGGTGACCCACTTAACATCTTGAAGTTGTGAAAAGACCTGACCCTTTGTTAACTGATGTCAGAATAAGCTTTTCTAGTAAATGACCTGAGTTATCACAATCATAGACAAGTTGTTTCCCTTCTTTGAATCTTTTGTGTCAGAGTTGAAAGCAAAGTAAACAATATTGCATAGTACAGCTATTGATTAGTGGAAAATATATATAAAATTTCTACAATTATTTTCATGTTAAATGAAAGTACCTCAATGTAGCACACAGAATGATAAAGACGAAACATCAAGTTGAAAATTAAATCAAAAGAAAGGCTTGATTGAATATTCCTCACTTCATTGTTTTCCTTGCTTGTTCCATCAGTTTAAATGATGATATAAAGCATAGTATGGTTAATCCCATGGTAACAAAATTAGTTATATCCGGCTCTTTGGCAGAGTATATTGTCTGTGAATTCCTCTCTGAATATTTGACAAAGTATAAAGTCCACGAATCCATCACAGGATATTTTTCACATGTTCCCTGAGAGAATCTTTGACAGGGTTTACTGTCCCATGTTCCCTGAGAGAATCTTTGACGAGGTTAACTGTCCCATGGTCCCTGAGAGAATCTTTGACAGGGTTTACTGTCCCATGTTCCTTGAGAGAATCTTTGACAAGGTTAACTGTCCCATGTTCCCTGAGAGAATCTTTGACAGGGTTTACTGTCCCATGTTCCCTGAGAGAATCTTTGACAGGGTTTACTGTCCCATGTTCCCTGAGAGAATCTTTGGCAGGGTATACTGTCCCATGTTCCCTGAGAGAATCTTTGGCAGGGTATACTGTCCCATGTTCCCTGAGAGAATCTTTGGCAGGGTATACTGTCCCATGTTCCCTGAGAGAATCTTTGACAGGGTTTACTGTCCCATGTTCCCTGAGAGAATCTTTGACAGGGTTTACTGTCCCATGTTCCCTGAGAGAATCTTTGACAGGGTTTACTGTCCCATGTTCCCTGAGAGAATCTTTGACAGGGTTTACTGTCCCATGTTCCCTGAGAGAATCTTTGACAGAGTATACTGTCCCATGTTCCCTGAGAGAATCTTTGACAGGGTATACTGTCCCATGTTCCCTGAGAGAATCTTTGACAGGGTATACTGTCCCATGTTCCCTGAGAGAATCTTTGACAGGGTTTACTGTCCCATGTTCCCTGAGAGAATCTTTGGCAGGGTATACTGTCCCATGTTCCCTGAGAGAATCTTTGACAGGGTTTACTGTCCCATGTTCCCTGAGAGAATCTTTGACAGGGTTTACTGTCCCATGTTCCCTGAGAGAATCTTTGGCAGGGTATACTGTCCCATGTTCCCTGAGAGAATCTTTGACAGGGTTTACTGTCCCATGTTCCCTGAGAGAATCTTTGACAGGGTTTACTGTCCCATGTTCCCTGAGAGAATCTTTGACAAGGTTAACTGTCCCATGTTCCCTGAGAGAATCTTTGACAGGGTTTACTGTCCCATGTTCCCTGAGAGAATCTTTGACAAGGTTAACTGTCCCATGTTCCCTGAGAGAATCTTTGACAGGGTTTACTGTCCCATGTTCCCTGAGAGAATCTTTGACAGGGTATACTGTCCCATGTTCCCTGAGAGAATCTTTGACAGGGTATACTGTCCCATGTTCCCTGAGAGAATCTTTGACAGGGTATACTGTCCCATGTTCCCTGAGAGAATCTTTGACAGGGTATACTGTCCCATGTTCCCTGAGAGAATCTTTGACAGGGTATACTGTCCCATGTTCCCTGAGAGAATCTTTGACAGGGTATGCTGTCCCATGTTCCCTGAGAGAATCTTTGACAGGGTATGCTGTCCCATGTTCCCTGAGAGAATCTTTGACAGGGTTTACTGTCCCATGTTCCCTGAGAGAATCTTTGACAGGATATGCTGTCCCATGTTCCCTGAGAGAATCTTTGACAGGGTATACTGTCCCATGTTCCCTGAGAGAATCTTTGACAGGGTTTACTGTCCCATGTTCCCTGAGAGAATCTTTGACAGGGTTTACTGTCCCATGTTCCCTGAGAGAATCTTTGACAGGATATGCTGTCCCTTGTCCCCTCAGATGATCTTATGTATCTGTCACCTTCCTTGTCCTACTCGGTAACAATAATTGATATCACCACAAACTTGAACAATGACAAAAGAAAATGAGTGGCAGATTCAGCGTTTGTCCTCAATTTCACCTCATTTCAAAGACTGTGAAATACACGTTAGTCTACCTTGGCAGATGTTTGTTTATGATGTGAATACAAATTGTCCTATATTTTCATGGAGCTCAACTTTGTGGCTTTAAAAAAACCCTATTTGAGGACACTTGATTTCATGTATAAATTTAGTGTAATCTATGTTACCTTGTTTGCTGATTTGCTAAGAGTTTTTGGACATGCTTGGATTAAAAGTAGCCAAGGAATTCATGAAAATCAAACAAACACAAAAAATAATGATAGTTACAGTATGATTAAGTATGTTGTAAATACAAATTGAATGAGTAATTCTCAGTTAAATATGATCAGAAATCCTACAACCAAACACACCTGGTCCAAAGGACCAAGGAGCTATTGCTAGTCCGTCTGTTTGTCTGTATGTCAGTTTTTTACTACAAATTGCTACTACTCATGAACTATTGAGCAGATTTGGACCAAATTTGATGAGAAGCAACTTTCAGGAAAAGTTTTCAATTTTGTATAAACCTTGAGTCTCTGCCCCCTTTGGCCTAAAGTACCAGGCCAAAAGGGAAAATTCAGTAAGTTCTTTGAAATCTTGTTCCTCACTAGAAATTGGAGGATTTTGTCCTAAGGTGGTATGAAACATCATTGGATGAAGAGACTGAATTTTGTATAGATGGAGGGTCTGACTCTCCTCGGGCAAACAACGGGGCATAGTAGGGGAGATATAGCAAATTCTTTAAAATCCATCTCCTGTAAGAATGGCAGTATTCTGTCTGAAGTGCTCATTGGTGAGGGTCCTTTCTTCTTCTGTAGGAACGTCTAGATTACATCCTAATTTGATTGTGTACTTGGGTGAAAGGGAATCAATTGGGTAAAAATGGTGGGTCTCTGCCCCCTTGGATGTGATGGGTGGGTCCTAAAGGGGTAATAAAGGAACAACTTTAAAATCCCTCATCTATTGTACTGATGAATGATTGTTACCAAATTTATTCACAAACATACTAGGGTTAAGTCTGAAGGATCTTGTAATGAATGTAAACTGTAGGCCTCACCCTCCTGCATCCTCGATACTCCAGAAGTTACAATCTCTTCCACCCTCTACAGTGATCATAACCCCTGGAGTCTTGTATATTATCTTTACATAGATACGTAAACAAATTAAATAAAAAAAATGGGTGTGTCCTTTTTCCTGCCAAGGAATATAAGTAGAGCTTGAAAACCCTGATACCTGCAGTGTGTTTATAAACATACAAATTTAAATCTGAGATGCATTCAAAATGTTATACACCTCGCTATAAAATCTAGATAAACAGCACCAACTGGGATTAAATGAAAGTTGCCAGCTCCGCAAAATTCTCGTGTGTCACAGACAAATACTTTTGATAATATTGTTTACCTCTATATAGTCTCCTGTCTGATGTTATCATACTTATGTAACTATCCATATTTTTATTTTTCCTGTATCCTTTGTGATGTATTTGAAAGCAATTTAAAAAAATGTTTCCTTTGGTATTTCTGCCAAAGTTGATATGAATTCTCTATACTAATAAAAATGTCAACCTGATGCAGTAAAAGCTTCGTAGATTAAGGAGAGATTTCACCGAAGATGTAGATGCCAGGTAATTGATCAGTTTAGAAGGAAATGTAGCAGTAAGTACATGCACACTATGCAATATGAGGTTTTGTATAAAAGTGCAGGACCTATACTTTTGCTATCCATGTATTATAATGTTAATTTTATAATAAAAAAGATAAATTATTATCTGGTATATCTTTGATCTTAGCTACCCAGGTATACATGACAGCTTGCCATTGATGCTCGGTCAACGTCAATCTTTAAACCCTCCTCTGGATCTAGAATTTGTGGTTCAGTGAACTGTAATACATGTAGAGCCAGGCTTCTGTTTCTCAGGAAGAATACAGATTGAAATGTGATATTTTGGTTTTATCATTGAACAAGATACATTACATAACTGAAACAGTTCTGGATAGCATGTGGCAGGCCTTCCACATGTTGTTCAGTGAGGTAGTCACCTGCTTCTTAAATATTCCACATCAAAATGACTGTGGTTGTTGTTTCACATGTTGTTCAATGAGATAGCATCAGCTTCTACAAGGATACTCTGTATTAAAATGACCATGGTTGGTGATGGGCCTCCCTTATGTTGTTCAATGAGGTAGTCACTGGCTTCTACTAGGATACTCTGTATTGAAATGACCATGGTTGGTGATGGGCCTCCCTCATGCTGTTCAATGAGGTATCATCAGCTTCTACTAGGATACTCTGTATTAAAATGACCATGGTTGGTGATGGGTCTCCCTCATGTTGTTCAGTGAGGTAGTAACTGGCTTCTACTAGGATACTCTGTATTAAAATGACCATGGTTGGTGATGGGCCTCCCTCATGCTGTTCAATGAGGTAGCATCAGCTTCTACTAGGATACTCTGTATTAAAATGACCATGGTTGGTGATGGGCCTCCCCCATGTTGTTCAATGAGGTAGCATCAGCTTCTACTAGGATACTCTGTATTAAAATGACTATGGTTGGTGATGGGCCTCCCACATGCTGTTCAAAGAGGTAGCCACTGGCTTCTACTTGAAAAATCTAAAGCAAAATCACTGTGGTTGTTGACAGGGTAATATACCAAGAACCAAGTAAACAAAAAGCAGAGCATGCTAATTGTTTGTTTGTTAATTCTCTGATTCATAATATGTGTAATAATTAGTTTGATACTGTACAGTGAACACCTGTTAATATTGTTGGAGATTTGTTAGGTACATTTATTGTTTAACCTAATAAATACATGTACTTATTATGTGGTAGATATGTTATGCCATGTAAATGTACCGGTACTTAAAATCTGTGTTACTAATGCACAGCCCCTCTCATAGTCAAACATTAAGGCCCATGAATTACATAACAGGTCATGTTTAATGTACATATATTTTTGTACAAAGAAATATATGCGTCCTTCTAATATTAATCACAGAATTTTACAACCATGCTTTTACAAAACGCCATTAATTCCGTGACAAATTAAGAAACATTTTCAAAATTTATCCTTCTAGTTACATGTTCAACAATAGATTTTCTTACTGGTGAAAATATACTTTTACTTGTGTAAATGTTAAACAAGTACTGTTTCTCAAAATTCAAAGTTTGTAGATTTTAAAAAATCAAACAAATGAATGAGCAATTATTTACATTTTTTAAATGAAATTGAAATTATTTTGAAAACAAAAAGGAGACTTTTATGTGCTGCAGACATGATAAAGAAACATTTAGGAGAGGACATATTACAGGAGAAGATGTTCCTCAGTACTGTATACAGTGGTTTAATTACCATCAGAAGCTCTGATAAATTATTATTTTGTTGCTACATCTATATTTTGATCTGTGTTCCATACATTACAGCCACAAACTGGTTACATAGATTACGAAAAAATGAGGGAGACTGCAAAACTCTTCCGGCCAAAATTAATCGTAGCTGGTACTACAGCCTACTCTAGACTGCTGAACTATCAGGCATACCGAGAGGTGAGTGTCGTCAGTGTTCACAATCAAAATGTGATGATGTCAGAATTAAAAAAAAAAACCTTGATGGTCAAAGCACAGTTAAATACTGAGTATAAATCTATATCAGTTTAGAGTGTAGAGGTGTAGTGCTCTCATCAACAACTTAAAAGATAGATGAAAATATATTGAAATTTAATGACAAATCAAACAGTGTGTAGGTTTGGATGAAATTTAATGACAAATCAAACAGCGTGTATGTTTTGACGAAATTTAATGACAAATCAAACAGTGTGTAGGTTTGGATGAAATTTAATGACAAATCAAACAGCGTGTATGTTTGGATGAAATTTAATGACAAATCAAACAGCGTGTATGTTTGGATGAAATTTAATGACAAATCAAACAGCGTGTATGTTTTGACGAAATTTAATGACAAATCAAACAGTGTGTAGGTTTGGATGAAATTTAATGACAAATCAAACAGTGTGTAGGTTTGGATGAAATTTAATGACAAATCAAACAGCGTGTATGTTTGGATGAAATTTAATGACAAATCAAACAGTGTGTAGGTTTGGATGAAATTTAATGACAAATCAAACAGTGTGTAGGTTTGGATGAAATTTAATGACAAATCAAACAGTGTGTAGGTTTGGATGAAATTTAATAACAAATCAAACAGCGTGTATGTTTGGACAAAATTTAATGACAAATCAAACTGTGTGTAGGTTTGGACAAAACTTTGAGTCCTGTTGTCAGCATTATCAGATTTATCATGTTCTATTTTAGATTTGTGATGAAGTGAACGCCATCATGTTGGCGGACATGGCCCACATTTCTGGCCTGGTAGCAGCGCATATAATTCCCAGTCCTTTTGAGTATGCAGATATAGTGACATCTACTACCCATAAAACACTGCGGGGACCGAGGTATGACAATTCTTTACTATCAGTGTCCTGTACTACCAATAAGATCCTAAGAGGACAGGGCTGTGTTTTCCACATTATAGTAGACATGTTTAGACAAGTTGTTTGTTTTGTACATTAACTTTTTAAGTAACATTATCTGTTTTTGAATGATTTCAGGTCTGGAATCATTTTCTATCGTAAGGGAGTGAAAGGCGTAGATAAGAAGGGAAATGAGATTAAGTATGACCTGGAGAAGAAGATAAACAACGCTGTGTTCCCGTCTCTCCAGGGAGGGCCTCACCAACACCAGATAGCTGCTGTAGCAGTAGCACTAAAACAGGTAGGGGGCAGCATCAACACCAGGGACAGGTAGGGGGCTAGCATCAACACCAGGGACAGGTAGGGGGCAGCATCAACACCAGGGACAGGAAGGGGGCTAGCATCAACACCAGGGACAGGTAGGGGGCAGCATCAACACCAGGGACAGGTATGGGGCTGCATCAACATCATGGACACATAGGGGGCTAACATCAACACCAGGGACAGGTAGGGGGCTGCACCAACATCATGGACACATAGGGGGCTAACATCAACATCAGGGACAGGTAGGGGGCAGCATCAACACCAGGGATAGGTAGGGGGCTGCATCAACATCAGGGACAGGTAGGGGGCTAGCATCAACACCAGGGACAGGTAGAGGGCTGCATCAACACCAGGGACAGGTAGGGGGCAGCATCGACACCAGGGACAGGAAGGGGGCTAGCATCAATATCAGGGACAGGTAGGGGGCAGCATCAACACCAGGGACAGGTAGGGGGCTGCATCAACATCAGGGACAGGTAGGGGGCTGCATCAACACCAGGGACAGATAGGGGGCTGCATCAACACCAGGGACAGATAGGGGGCTGCATCAACAACAAGGACACATAGGGGGCTAACATCAACATCAGGGACAGGTAGGGGGCTAGCATCAACACCAGGGACAGGTAGAGGGCTGCATCAACACCAGGGACAGGTAGGGGGCAGTATCAACACCAGGGACAGGAAGGGGGCTAGCATCAACATCAGGGACAGGTAGGGGGCAGCATGAACACCAGGGACAGGTAGGGGGCTAGCATCAAAATCAGGGACAGGTAGGGGGCAGCATGAACACCAGGGACAGGTAGGGGGCTAGCATCAACATCAGGGACAGGTAGGGGGCTAGCATCAACACCAGGGACAGGTAGGGGGCTAGCATCAACATCAGGGATAGGTAGGGGGCAGCATCAACATCAGGGACAGGTAGGGGCAGCATCAACATCAGGGAAAATGCAAAACAAACTCCAAGTAATTTGAAATTTAAGAATACAAATAGTAATCCTTTATCACAGTTTGTTAATGAATAGTTGACAGGACACAGAAGAGATATTTTGGTGTAAACAAAACAGTTCTCTCTTTCAGGCCCTGAGCCCAGAATTCAAGGACTACCAACTGCAAGTTGTCAAAAATGCACAAACGATGGCCAAGGCGTTGATGAACAAGGGATATGATGTCTTAACTGGTATGTACTGGTCCGTTTAGGTTGTGTACAGTGGTCTGTCCAGACTGTATTGTTTATAGTTTAGTGGTTTGAACAAAGGGAGTTTGCTTGCTTCTTGATGAATGGCTTTCCCATCTTTTCAAATACTTATATCAGACCTATTTTGATAAGACTGTTAGTAGGTAAGGGTAGAATAGAAGTTCTTATAACACAACCAGTAGGAGATTAGAGTGTGGCATTTTGATGACTGCACGGTCGCCTTCATCTTATAACACAACCAGTAGAAGATTAGTGTGGTATTTTAATGACTACACGGTCACCTTCATCAGACAAATGACCAGTATGGAGTGTACTAGCACTGATGTACATAGTGTACCCGATGGTACGGAATGTACCAATTTTTTCGGCTGCACTATAATCCTTTGTACACTAAGGTCGAAAATAGTGTGACAAGATGGTAAACAGATTATAAAGAAAAAAATACACCAGATGGTAACAATGCACTGTATTGGCTATGCTTGACATTATCAACGCGAAGAAAATATTCCAAAATATGGTAGTTAAGGGGTTGTGCCATTTTGAGATAATTATGATATAGTAGCTCGGGTGTGTTATGGTAGTTAAATCATAGATTTTTTTTCTATGGGGTTTTAATTTAGAACAAAATTGTGTGGTAAAGGGTAAAAACACTGACCCCATACTCTCTCACCATATATTTATTTTAGGAATAGCTGCTTTGTAAAAAATTTTTACTTTAATAGAGAAAATTCTAAAAAAAATTGCCAGCATATTGGATAATAACTTTTTGTTCCAATACCACAAAAAATGAAATGGAGATCCTGATGAAGCCTTTTGAGGTGAAAATAGCCAGTCACATTAACATAAAACTCACTTATTGGTGACTCTCAGGGATTATACATATTAACCTTATATGTGTCTATATTGTCTTGCATATCTTATGGTATCTGTTGGCAAATCAAAACAACCCATTGATTAACCTCAATCTGTTGTTTGTAGGAGGAACTGACAACCATCTGATCTTACTGGACTTAAAGCCAAACGGTACAGATGGAACACGTGTAGAGAGAATCTTAGAGTTGGTTGAGATTTCCGTCAACAAGAATACGACGGCTGGAGATAAAAGTCCTTTTACTCCCGGTGGCCTTAGAATAGGTAAGACTTAAACAACATCTCTTCAATCCTTGTTCATCACAATTTACTTTAAAACCTTTCATATTCTTAACCCATGCTTTGTTTTCACTTGTTCTAACCTAAGATTTCAACTTAATTTTACTTTGAGACGAAAACAAATATACTTATTCATACTCTTCACTATGATACAACAGTAAATTCTATGTTCTAATCACCACTGTCTTGCAGGAAGTTTGTGTACAAAACATCTCCAAAATATTTCAAATTTAGTTCCTATTTAAACCATACATATGCATATGTTTTAAACAGGATGGAATTTGATACAACTTATGTCAGAGTCAAAGTTTAAAGATCCAGTGTAAAATCAAAGTTACTGTAAATAATAAAGCACAGCATCTCAGTGAAGGAGGAGTGAGTTGAGAGGAATTATCTGCATGGAAGAGTTTATATAGATTTCAATTCGGAGGAATAATTTTGTCATGTTTTTTCTCCTGAAGGAACCCCTGCCATGACCTCAAGGGGGATGAAGGAAGCTGACTTTGAGAAAGTCGTGGATTTATTAGACCGTGGTGTTCAAATAGCAAAGGAAGCTCAGAAAAATACAAGTAAGCTATTTTTCTTTAGTCTAAATATTTTCTGTAAACAATAAAAAAATAGTACAAAGCTGTTTTTGTGGGACAATACAGTGTGAAAATCTAGCTGACACCATAGATGAAAAACAATCTGTGTTCCCCATTACCTCGGAATGAGGATAAAAAACCCCCAAATTGGTGAATTGTACCCTCAGTTTTCAAGCAGTCTCATATATAAATATCTTGTTTATGGTACAGGAAGTAAACAATTCAAAAATATTTGAGATGATATAACAATTGTATCATGGACACAAACATACACCAGTGTAAATAGGTTGTGGTTTCTGAATTACATTTATTTTGACAGAAGCATCTGTATCAGAGATGTCTTTCAAGCAAATGTATACAGCCTTTCAATTCATGTAATACCTCAATTTTTTCAGAGACCATCAAGGATTTCAAGGCGTTTGTTGATAGCGATGCTGGTATTCAATCACAGATAGCCGCGCTTCGTAATGAAGTTGAGGATTTCGCAAAGAGTTTCTCAATGCCCGGATTGGAGGAGCGATAGATCGTGATAACTCCTGATCTGACTTCATGACTTTCAAGTTCTAGATTCATTTCACCACAAGGAAAATCTCTGAATTAATCTGACAATTTCCTCTCCTTCTTATGGTTTTAGTTTTTGACATTGAAAAAACTAGTTTTGAAATTTCAATGAGCTGTTTAAAGTATAACTTTGAAATTTTACCTGGTTGATGTGTATTAAATTCTTGTATCGTTGTTTTATCCTTGTAGTCGCTGAAACACTGATGTCACTCAAAACTTTACAACTTTGTCTGTGAAGCCATTTTAATTCATATCAAAATGTGAAAATGTTACTATCATTTTTCTGTGCATCCTTTTCAATGTTGCAAAGGTTCCTTAATCAGTATTTTTGGGATAATAAAAAGACTGGTATAAAATTTAATTGATCGTGTTCTTATAGGAAAAGATAATAATGTTCTGTTATCAGTAATGATTGAAAGTAAAACACATTGAGGGCAGAATTATCATTGATAATGAGTATCAGATGTCCTATTATTTTAAATGATGACTCAGGTAGATTACTGAGGTGTTCATCAGTTAATAATGATGTTAATTTTGTAGTAAACTTTGTCACACATGTGCAATTTATATTTTAAAATCAATTATCTTTTTATTGGTATTTATTTTAGTTATCTCCACAAAGTGAAAAAGTGACAGTTTATTAAAGTATCAATGCATTTCTGAGCAGGAAATGATGAGGAAGTGTTATTTTTATCATCTGAATTCTAAAGATATTGTTTCTTTCTTTTTTTTTTTACAAATTGAGATTTTTATATGTTGAGATTGTTTACGATTTGTATTGGAAAGTAGAAATTTCGATTTCATTTTTTTTTTTTTTTTTTGTATCTTTTAATTTTAATTATGAATCTTATCATTTTAAGTAAAATGTATACTTAGGTTTTTAGTCTGCTTATGTCTCCTATTTCAGGATTTAAAAATCTTTTTAATCTTCTGGTCAAGATTATTGAAACCGGTACAATTGTAGTATGGCGATAGTTTGATACATGATATTGGGTCATTAATACATTATATAGTGCTTTATTAGGGTCTTCATCTGGCGTTTGACCTGATTACTTAAACTTTTGTTTACATTTCTTTGACAGAAAATAATATTTCGTAGGATGTCTCATTTCAAGCTGTATATGGTGATATGATCCTTTATTCACACTTTTATGAAAGTATTGCTGCTTAAACATATTGCTCTCTGAAGGTTTGAGTTGGGGCCATTTAGAAAATGTTATTCATTGTGCCATTTTCTCCTGTGATGATTTGCGATATTTACCAGGACACTGTGATTCTGATTTCGGGTCGAAAGTTATAGAATTTCTACAATAACTGTGCATAACATATCTACAAATCTATTATGTTTCTAAGGAGTCTGGAAAAATATGTTAAATTAATCTTAAGTAATTTATACATTGTTGAAATTTTTTTTCTGTTTTAAAGATAAACAATTAAATTAGTGATCTGTGTAATGATTGGAAAATAATGTTCTGTCTGTAGGAAATATATTTGAATCTCTGACGTTTTAATTTATGGATCTTTTACATGTTATTGATTGGTCTTGTCGGCAGGGTTCGCATTTTAGCAACGGCTTCATTTGGTGAATAGATCTGAGGAAAAGATTGGATATTTTTAATCTTTTCCAGCATCAATAATAACAAACTGCTTTGTATTTCTTTTCCCTCAATGGTGTTGAATTATCATCGAATCATAACTATCTGTAAAATGTTTGAAAACATCTGATTAAAATATATTGAAAGTTTTCTGTTGTTTTAATTGATTTAGCAGACTTTGAAGCCGGTGACCAGCTTGTGTTCTACATAAACTGCCCTCCGTACTAAACCATTGTGCTGTGTAATGTCACATACTACTAGTAGTTTATGTAAGATGTTATCAAGCTACTTGTGGGTAGGCTTACAGTCTATGTAAGATGTTATCAAGCTACTTGTGGGTAGGCTTACAGTCTATATAAGATGTTATCAAGCTACTTGTGGGTAGACTTACAGTCTATGTAAGATGTTATCAAGCTACTTGTGGGTAGGCTTACAGTCTATATAAGATGTTATCAAGCTACTTGTGGGTAGGCTTACAGTCTATGTAAGATGTTATCAAGCTACTTGTGGGTAGACTTACAGTCTATGTAAGATGTTATCAAGCTACTTGTGGGTAGGCTTACAGTCTATATAAGATGTTATCAAGCTACTTGTAGGTAGTCTTACAGTCTATGTAAGATGTTATCAAGCTACTTGTACTTACAGTCTATGTAAGATGTTATCAAGCTACTTGTACTTACAGTCTATGTAAGATGTTATCAAGCTACTTGAGGGTAGACTTACAGTCTATGTAAGATGTTATCAAGCTACTTGTACTTACAGTTTATGTAAGATGTTATCAAGCTACTTGTACTTACAGTCTATGTAAGATGTTATCAAGCTACTTGTACTTACAGTCTATGTAAGATGTTATCAAGATACTTGTACTTACAGTCTATGTAAGATGTTATCAAGCTACTTGTACTTACAGTCTATGTAAGATGTTATCAAGCTACTTGTACTTACAGTCTATGTAAGATGTTATCAAGCTACTTGAGGGTAGACTTACAGTCTATGTAAGATGTTATCAAGCTACTTGTGGGTAGGCTTACAGTCTATGTAAGATGTTATCAAGCTACTTGTAGGTAGGCTTACAGTCAATATAAGATGTTATCAAGCTACTTGTGGGTAGGCTTACAGTCTATATAAGATGTTATCAAGCTACTTGTACTTACAGTCTATGTAAGATGTTATCAAGCTACTTGTGGGTAGGCTTACAGTCTATATAAGATGTTATCAAGCTACTTGAGGGTAGGCTTACAGTCTATGTAAGATGTTATCAAGCTACTTGTGGGTAGGCTTACAGTCTATATAAGATGTTATCAAGCTACTTGTGGGTAGGCTTACAGTCTATGTAAGATGTTATCAAGCTACTTGTGGGTAGACTTACAGTCTATGTAAGATGTTATCAAGCTACTTGTGGGTAGACTTACAGTCTATGTAAGATGTTATCAAGCTACTTGTACTTACAGTCTATGTAAGATGTTATCAAGCTACTTGTGGGTAGACTTACAGTCTATGTAAGATGTTATCAAGCTACTTGAGGGTAGACTTACAGTTTATGTAAGATGTCATCAAGCTACTTGTACTTACAGTCTATGTTAGATGTTATCAAGCTACTTGTGGGTAGACTTACAGTCTATGTAAGATGTTATCAAGCTACTTGAGGGTAGACTTACAGTTTATGTAAGATATCATCAAGCTACTTGTACTTACAGTCTATGTTAGATGTTATCAAGCTACTTGTGGGTAGACTTACAGTCTATGTAAGATGTTATCAAGCTACTTGTACTTACAGTCTATGTAAGATGTTATCAAGCTACTTGTACTTACAGTCTATGTAAGATGTTATCAAGCTACTTGTGGGTAGACTTACAGTCTATGTAAGATGTTATCAAGCTACTTGTACTTACAGTCTATGTAAGATGTTATCAAGCTACTTGTACTTACAGTCTATGTAAGATGTTATCAAGCTACTTGTGGGTAGACTTACAGTCTATATAAGATGTTATCAAGCTACTTGTGGGTAGGCTTACAGTCTATATAAGATGTTATCAAGCTACTTGTGGGTAGGCTTACAGTCTATGTAAGATGTTATCAAGCTACTTGTGGGTAGGCTTACAGTCTATGTAAGATGTTATCAAGCTACTTGTGGGTAGACTTACAGTCTATGTAAGATGTTATCAAGCTACTTGTACTTACAGTCTATGTAAGATGTTATCAAGCTACTTGTGGGTAGACTTACAGTCTATGTAAGATGTTATCAAGCTACTTGTGGGTAGACTTACAGTCTATGTAAGATGTTATCAAGCTACTTGTGGGTAGACTTACAGTCTATGTAAGATGTCATCAAGCTACTTGTACTTACAGTCTATGTAAGATGTTATCAAGCTACTTGTGGGTAGACTTACAGTCTATGTAAGATGTTATCAAGCTACTTGTACTTACAGTCTATATAAGATGTTATCAAGCTACTTGTAGGTAGTCTTACAGTCTGTGTAAGATGTTATCAAGCTACTTGTACTTACAGTCTATGTAAGATGTTATCAAGCTACTTGTACTTACAGTTTATGTAAGATGTTATCAAGCTACTTGTACTTACAGTCTATGTAAGATGTTATCAAGCTACTTGTACTTACAGTCTATGTAAGATGTTATCAAGCTACTTGTACTTACAGTCTATGTAAGATGTTATCAAGCTACTTGTACTTACAGTCTATGTAAGATGTTATCAAGCTACTTGTACTTACAGTCTATGTAAGATGTTATCAAGCTACTTGTGGGTAGACTTACAGTCTATGTAAGATGTTATCAAGCTACTTGTACTTACAGTCTATGTAAGATGTTATCAAGCTACTTGTGGGTAGACTTACAGTCTATATGTAAGATGTTATCAAGCTACTTGTACTTACAGTCTATGTAAGATGTTATCAAGCTACTTGTGGGTAGACTTACAGTCTATGTAAGATGTTATCAAGCTACTTGTGGGTAGACTTACAGTCTATGTAAGATGTCATCAAGCTACTTGTGGGTAGGCTTACAGTCTATGTAAGATGTTATCAAGCTACTTGTACTTACAGTCTACGTAAGATATTATCAAGGTACTTGTACTTACAGTCTATGTAAGATGTTATCAAGCTACTTGTGGGTAGACTTACAGTCTATGTAAGATGTTATCAAGCTACTTGTGGGTAGACTTACAGTCTATGTAAGATGTTATCAAGCTACTTGTACTTACAGTCTATGTAAGATGTCATCAAGCTACTTGAGGGTAGATTTACAGTCTATGTAAGATGTTATCAAGCTACTTGTACTTACAGTCTATGTAAGATGTCATCAAGCTACTTGTACTTACAGTCTATGTAAGATGTTATCAAGCTACTTGTGGGTAGACTTACAGTCTATGTAAGATGTTATCAAGCTACTTGTACTTACAGTCTATGTAAGATGTTATCAAGCTACTTGTACTTACAGTCTATGTAAGATGTTATCAAGCTACTTGTGGGTAGACTTACAGTCTATGTAAGATGTTATCAAGCTACTTGTGGGTAGACTTACAGTCTATGTAAGATGTTATCAAGCTACATGTGGGTAGACTTACAGTCTATGTAAGATGTTATCAAGCTACTTGTGGGTATACTTACAGTCTATGTAAGATGTTATCAAGCTACTTGTACTTACAGTCTATGTAAGATGTTATCAAGCTACTTGTGGGTAGACTTACAGTCTATGTAAGATGTCATCAAGCTACTTGTACTTACAGTCTATGTAAGATGTTATCAAGCTACTTGTACTTACAGTCTATGTAAGATGTTATCAAGCTACTTGTACTTACAGTCTATGTAAGATGTTATCAAGCTACTTGTACTTACAGTCTATGTAAGATGTTATCAAGCTACTTGTGGGTAGACTTACAGTCTATGTAAGATGTTATCAAGCTACTTGTAGGTAGTCTTACAGTCTGTGTAAGATGTTATCAAGCTACTTGTGGGTAGACTTACAGTCTATGTAAGATGTTATCAAGCTACTTGTGGATAGACTTACAGTTTATGTAAGATGTTATCAAGCTACTTGTGGGTAGACTTACAGTCTATGTAAGATGTCATCAAGCTACTTGTACTTACAGTCTATGTAAGATGTTATCAAGCTACTTGTACTTACAGTCTACGTAAGATATTATCAAGCTACTTGTACTTATAGTCTATGTAAGATGTTATCAAGCTACTTGTGGGTAGACTTACAGTCTATGTAAGATGTTATCAAGCTACTTGTGGGTAGACTTACAGTCTATGTAAGATGTTATCAAGCTACTTGTAGGTAGTCTTACAGTCTGTGTAAGATGTTATCAAGCTACTTGTACTTACAGTCTATGTTAGATGTAATCAAGCTACTTGTGGGTAGACTTACAGTCTATGTAAGATGTTATCAAGCTACTTGAGGGTAGACTTACAGTTTATGTAAGATGTTATCAAGCTACTTGTGGGTAGGCTTACAGTCTATATAAGATGTTATCAAGCTACTTGTGGGTAGGCTTACAGTCTATATAAGATGTTATCAAGCTACTTGTGGGTAGACTTACAGTCTATGTAAGATGTTATCAAGCTACTTGTACTTTCAGTTTATGTAAGATGTTATCAAGCTACTTGTACTTTCAGTTTATGTAAGATGTTATCAAGCTACTTGTACTTACAGTCTATGTAAGATGTTATCAAGCTACTTGTGGGTAGACTTACAGTCTATGTAAGATGTTATCAAGCTACTTGTGGGTAGACTTACAGTCTACGTAAGATGTCATCAAGCTACTTGTACTTACAGTCTATGTTAGATGTTATCAAGCTACTTGTGGGTAGACTTACAGTCTATGTAAGATGTTATCAAGCTACTTGTACTTACAGTCTATGTAAGATGTTATCAAGCTACTTGTACTTACAGTCTATTATAAGAGGTTCATAGGGCCTATATTGCTCAACTTGTTTTAGGTCACCTGAGCCAAAGAACCGATTTCAATGAAATTAGGTCACCTGAGCCAAAGAACCGATTTCAATGAAATAAGGCCACCTGAGACAAAGGACCGATTTCAATGAAATTAGGTCACCTGAGCCAAGGAACCGATTTCAATGAAATTAGGTCACCTGAGCCAAAGAACCGATTTCAATGAAATAAGGTCACTTGAGACAAAGGACCGATTTCAATGAAATAAGGTCACTTGAGCCAAGGAACCGATTTCAATGAAATAAGGTCACTTGAGCCAAGGAACCGATTTCAATGAAATAAGGTCACTTGAGCCAAGGAACCGATTTCAATGAAATAAGGTCACTTGAGCCAAGGAACCGATTTCAATGAAATAAGGTCACTTGAGCCAAGGAACCGATTTCAATGAAATAAGGTCACTTGAGCCAAGGAACCGATTTCAATGAAATTAGGTCACCTGAGACAAAGGACCGATTTCAATGAAATTAGGTCACCTGAGACAAAGGACCGATTTCAATGAAATTAGTTCACCTGAGACAAAGGACCGATTTCAATGAAATTAGGTCACCTGAGACAAAGGACCGATTTCAATGAAATTAGGTCACCTGATATAAAGGACTTCACAGAAATTTTACAGAAACTTTCCCTGGCCTAAGATGAAACAATATAGTGAGTTACATGGTCCTCACCAAACAGGGGCCTGAGGCTCAAATTTACACAAATTTCAAAACTCTTCTCAACACCCAGATATGGTAGAATCAAATTCTCTTTGTGGATGGAAGCATCTTAAGGTGGTTGACAAAACCCAGTGTCTTGCATTTCCCTGTGGAGAGGGAGTAAAATTTATTATAATTTATATAGGAAAACTAGATTTTTTAGTATAATTAGTTCAGTTTCCATTGAAAATATTTCAAACTTGGTTAGAATTATGAATGAAGAATGAAAGCTAGGTGGTGTGAATAGATTGATCCTAATTGACTCCCAGGGGCTGTTAGGCAGGGCCAAAAGGGGTCAAACTGACTTAAATTTCAAAAATCTTCTTCTCAACACCCAGGTATGGTCAAATCAAATGATCTTGGATGGAAGAGTCTTAAGGTGCTTTATTTACCAAAATGACTCTCACATTTCTTCCTGGGGAAGAGGTAAACTTAACTGTCATTTTTTTTATAGAAAAAGTGCATTTTTGAGCATAACATTGTTTACTTTCCACTGGATATAAATGTGTAAGATTTATTAGTATAGGATGACAGTGTTGAAGGTATGTCTGTATTGACACTGGCTTACTATCATCAATGTCACAGTTTCTTTTTCATGACTCTTCAAAGCTACTTTCCCTTTAAAAAAATATATTCAATATTGCTTATTTCAGGTGACTGTCAAGACCGCTAGGCCACTTGTTTTGACTGAAATTACTTTATCCAAACTATTGGAAAAGGAATTCTAAATTTCCTAGTGCACAACACACATATCTATTCCCCCCATTCCCTCAGCCAAACAATCCATGCTTTATACCAAATTTGGACAGAATCTAGACATTCTTACTGCAGAAGAATTCTAAAGAATTTGCTTTTTTCTCCTCTTGAATAGGTTCTGCCACTCCCATCCCAAGGGGCCTAGACCTACCGTTTATACAAAACTGATTTCAATTGGCTAGACATGTGTTTGACTAAATTTGGACAAAATTCAATAATCCCAACAAATAGAGTTGGACTTTGTTCTATTTCCACTGTTGGACCCACCCTTCCCTGTATCATTACCCAACATCATACAAAATTCCCTTTAACCCAAGAATGCTTCAGATCAACACAGGAGGAGTGAGATTTTAAAGGATTTCTTCTATGTCCCCTCTTTGGCTGCTGCCTATCCCGCTCTAGGTGGCCAAGAGACCCACCTTGTAAACAAGACTGATTCCACTCCACCTGAGAATGCTTCAGATCAACACAGGAGGAGTGAGATTTTAAAGGATTTCTTCTATGTCCCCTCTTTGGCTGCTGCCTATCCCGCTCTAGGTGGCCAAGAGACCCACCTTGTAAACAAGACTGATTCCACTCCACCTGAGAATGCTTCAGATCAACACAGGAGGAGTGAGATTTTAAAGGATTTCTTCTATGTCCCCTCTTTGGCTGCTGCCTATCCCGCTCTAGGTGGCCAAGAGACCCACCTTGTAAACAAGACTGATTCCACTCCACCTGAGAATGCTTCAGACCATATTTGAGCAAAATCCAATAATGCCCACAGGAGAAGTAGGATTTCAGAGAATTTGCTATCTTGTATTGCACCCCACCCCTTTGGCCCCTGGTTGCCGAGACCTACAGCTTATACAAAATTGACTCCCATTCTTTCAAGAATGCTTTAAATCACATTTAGGCAAAACCAATTATTCCTACAAGAGAAGTAGCATTTTAAGGAATTTGTTCTATTTCCCTTATTAGGGCCCTGCCACCAACATTGCCTCTGCCCCATGTCAATATACACTACAGACTAAATTCTAGGACACTACCCTGATGATATTTTCAATGTGGATTGATAAATCTGACCCCGTCACTTTGGGTTTTGGTATCTATTCAAAAAGAAGTGGAAGTGAAGAGCAATACCCAGTTTGTTGATAGATAAATATATTGCTCAAGTAAATGTTGGAAAAATTTAAGTAAAATCATCAACATTTTAAAGTATTTTTTAATAATGCCAACAGACAGACGTATGTACATAAAAATTCTTCCATTACAATTCACTCTGTTTCAACTTTCTCTTTTCCCTTTGCACCATCTCTCTCTTTAACAGTTTTCTTAATCATTGTCGAGTCTTTTGTCCTTTCTTTTATTGTGAACAAATCATCTATGTTTGAGTGAACCTGTATGGGCTGTCGAATGTTTGTCCACACATAACACAAATTTGGATCACGAGAAATTGTAGGGTATGGACCATATTTACATTTGAAATAGTCAGAAGGCGCATGGCAAACAAATTCCATGAATTCCATTTTCCTTGGAAGATCTTCTTCTGGTCCTACAACAAACCAATACAAAAAGTCTCAAAAAAATATGTATATTTCTTCTAATCTCCCATCTACAAAATACTATTCTTACAATTAATACAACACAAGATATATATTTTTTCTTGTTAAATTTTAAATGTTTATTAAATGGGAACTTGGATAAAAGTATTTTCTTTCGTCATCTAAAATTCTATTTTAAAAAGTAGGAAACAAATTAATCTTTCAAACTTCACCATTTGAAACAAATTTGGATAGTTTGAGTTTTATATAAAAAGTTGATTATAGAACTTTACCAGATATCAAAGATTTTAAAAAAGTTATATTTATAGCTGTGTCTACTACTATATGTTAAAGTTTTAAAATAGAAACTCCAAAATTTGAATATTTTTGAACTATTGTATATCAAAGACGTTAAATGGACACGAAGTACAGATAGCTGTGTCTAATATTGCATGTTAAAGATATGGAAAGTTTTAAAATTAAGTGACTTACACTTTAAAACTTCATTTGAACTTTATAACAAGAAGCCCAGATGGCCTGTATCGCTCACCTGGCTATTTAAGTCAATAATGCAAAACTTTACATTTCTTTAGAAGGAAAATATTTCCCCTGATGAGCCTCACCCCACAGATACAGCTTCAAATTCCCTAGGGGTAGGGATAGAGATCACTTGTTAATCTCTTGATGTTCAGTAATGCTATTAAGTTATAGGATGGTAATCTCAATGGCTTCAAAGATATAATCTGTCCTGAGGTTGGACCAGACCCAAGGACAAATTATCAATTATGATTGTGTTTATCTCTTGATGCTCAACAATGACCCACCATTTATACAAAACAGATTTTCCTTCACCCAAGCATGCTTCAGATCAAATTTCAGCCCCACCCCTCAGGCGCACACACACACCCCCCAACCCCCGGGGTGGGGGCCAAACCACCATTTACACCAAATTGGTTCTTTTTTCCCTCAAGGATGCTTCAGACCAATTTTGATTAGAATCAGCTCAGTTGTTAATGAAGAGTTGCAATATATAGTAAAACGCTGACAGACAACGGATGATGCTGTATCCCTATAGCCGTTCAGGCCAGGTGAGGTAACAAGGAACAGGATTTTATTGCTTTACACACAAGGATCAGACACAGGATTTTATTGTTTTACACACAAGGAGCAGACTTTACAAATTGAACTTCACACAAAAGGAATGGACATCTGAAAGTTTGGACTTAAAGAAAGTAATAGATACTAAATGTACTAGTAGTCTGAGTTTTACTCATAAGAAACCAACAGATATTTACACAAGGAAAAGACACTGGATGGTTTAGACTTTACAAACATCAAAAAAAACCACACAGATGATAGTTTCCTAGAGAAATAACTGCCAATGTGAAACCAGTGACTTTACCTAATATATACCAGCCAATGGACAGTGTGGAACCAGTGACTTTACCTAATATATACCTGCCAATGGACAGTGTGGAACCAGTGACTTTACCTAATATATACCAGCCAATGGACATTGTGAAACCAGTGACTTTACCTAATATATATCTGCCAATGGACAGTGTGGAACCAGTGACTTTACCTAATATATACCAGCCAATGGACATTGTGAAACCAGTGACTTTACCTAATATATATCTGCCAATGGACAGTGTGAAACCAGTGACTTTACCTAATATATAAGTAGCAGGATCAAACCTATCCTTTGGACTACTTTGTGACGGCAGAAGCCAGGAAATAATGGCACTTTTTTCGTTGTATTGGTCCTTCATGAATCCTCGAATCTGTGCATAGTAAACAGATGTGTCGTGGTCCACCAAAGAAACTATATCTCCGACCTGAAAGTAGTTTCCCTGCAATACAAATGAACATCAAAATTGGTTTGAATATATTTGAACACATCTTCCTGGTCGTATGTAGTTATGTTCTATCTAATTAATGACTAATATTAATGTGTTCTCACTCTTTTCTGTTTGAATGATTATTATGACAGTGTTGTAACAGGGCAACTACCTGGTAAGTTCATATCCTTACCAAGTTATATATTGTGTGAGTCTGCCAGCCGTTAAGTGCCTAATCATCTGCATGACTTCAATGGTCAGCTGATATTTCTATTTATGTTAAGAAGATTGTACAAAAGACACACTATTGAATAGCACCTTTTTAAAATACAACTTTACGGTTAACCCAAGTAAGTTTCAATCACATCATACTACATGTCACCAGTTAGTGGGACACTTATTGACTAGTTTACCTGTGATGTAAGGCTTAATCAGAGCACTAATACACTGGATTAAACCCCTAAAGGACTAAAAATGGGGCTCAATATATATTCTGACATCATAGATAAATAGTAAATGTAAACAATTGCCAAGGGCAGATAAACCATTATCTACAGATATTTCATTACAACATTGCTATAATATGTCGTGCATATTAAAAGTTTGTTGCTTTATAAAAAAAATCATCTATTGTTTAGTTGATATTACAGTTGTACGGATTAGATACAGATATGCTTCAATCACAGCCAACAAGATTTACTGATAAGACAGCCCTCAGGAGCCTGAGCTCTTCAATAACAGAAACATACTGTCATCATGCCAATTTGATTCCCCTTCTTCAGTAATTATAAAGCTAGTCACGTTTTAGGCTTTGCCTTTTTCAAGGCTATTGCCATATTTAGCAATGGTTGTAAAATAATGTTGAAGGTTTATATGATTACAGTTCTTATCAGGGACAGGATTGATTCATCATAAATACAATCATTATAATTACAAATCATGAAACAGACAGGATACTGGGTTATCAGTAAATAAACAAACAAACCCCTGGTGCAGTGTACCATGCAGTCTTTGATATAACAAACAATATCTATATGATTTACACTTCACAGGGTTTTCCCTTGGACCCTCAAATTTATGAATGGTGAGAGTCCTTGGACTCACTTCATATGTGAAATAGAGTAAAACATTGTTAATTTTGAGGTCCTTTATCAACTTAAGGAAAACCCTGCACTTTAGCTATTACAATTAATGTATGTCAAAAGTCTTGTACTATTGGATATATTTACATCATGGAAAACACTGTCTCCGGTGATGACTGTTGAAATAGCTGTAGGGGCCTTCACTGGTTGCTGAAATAAAAAAAAAAAACAGAAGTTACATAACAAAAAAAACTCACTGAAGTTTGATAACCTGATGAATACCTATTCGTATTTTAAAACCACATATAATTACGTCAACACATAAATGGTGACTCACGTGAAAGAATTACTGAATCACAACATGATCAGGACGTAAAGGCATCCTTCACAGAGAATGTAATCTTAAGCTTACACTTTTCTTGAAAATTATTCTCCGGCTTTTTCCTTTTGTGGCCACTGCCTTGGTGACGGATTGAAACTTGTGTTTGGATGGTTTTATCCTAGCACTCTTCCTCAGAACTGGACCAGCTCCTCCGTTACTTCCATTGGATTTCACTAAGATAACAGACCCGTTGCTTCCGTTACCGTCTTTTCCGTTCGCTCCTCCATTTTTTAAACTGCATGCATTACAAAGGACTTCTCCGTCTCCTCCCTTTCTCCATATCGCCGAATTTCCCGTTTTACACGTGGAGCAAATCGGCTTTGATCCAAGTGGCATGCTGGTATTGTGTTTTTGTGTTAGATTAAACTAACTGCACAGATTTTCGTCGGCTTGTCTTAGAACCTGAAGTAGCGTTACATGTTTGCCTCCATATTGGTTTTCCAGAACAAAGTTAAATGGGAGAAACGCTTGATTTGGATTGAATTTGCATTAGAGGAAGCGTTATTGTGACAAGGACGAACTTTCTGTACCTCCAACTCTAAAGAGTACTCAGTTACACTGCCTTCCCAACCGTCAAGGAAAACTGAGAGAAACATTGTACCAGCGAACACTTTATTTTTGCATTTTGCATAATTACCGATGGATTTATAACTGAGTCGAACTCGGTGTTTTCTTATATTGTTCAAAAGACACAGGAGTGAATAGCACAATTTAATACTAATTTAGGGGATACATTTTTTAGAAGCCTATGAGACGAATAAGGAAAATTCAAAATAATAGAAAGATAACTAAACCTAGATTGGGATGTGCACTAGCCCCATAATTCAATAAGTTTCGCGACTACATATATCTGATTATAAATTTTAGAACAAAGTACATGCAAACTGTGTAGAGCTATAAAAATCAAACAGGTCTTAAATAGCTTCTACCATGGGAATCAATACGACTCGGATATCATACTTTGATACAGAGTTTATCCTAAATGTCAGACTGCCGATTAATACAAGACGAGCCGTGTGCCGGACTTGTAAGAAAGGTAACGATCTAAGATCAAAGTGGTGTCGGATCGGTAAATACGGAATTTAATTGATTGTTGAGATTTATGCTGATGATTTCGAGTCGGAGCTGTGGTGCAATTATCAGCGACATCGACATTTACATACCTGTTTCTCTATAGACGACATCAGATCTTTTGTTCTCGTTTTCCCAGTATTTCATATTTATATGCGAAATTTGTGCTCAAGCCTTATGTCTTGTTTAAGTTAAAAATTAGTAAATAAGACTAATTTTGTCAAAGATTTTTGAAAACTTTGAAAGAACTCAAAGTTATATTCACTGTTTATATTTGACATTTGTTTTATTTCATATGATTTAGATGAATTATCAAAATTATCAAAACTTGAGCACAAAATCTATGCTTGAGCATGAGAATGGTTTCATGAAAATGGGCCCTGGTCTTATTCGCTTGGTACTTTTTCAGGAGTCTCTTTCTTGTTATATATTTTGTCCTAGTGTAATTAGATTTGATTTTGGACTATGATTCTCTTCACTTGTCTATATTCTTGTTGTTGTATGTGTTTATACATAGTTGAGGAGAATTCGATAGACTTATTTTACGCCATGTATTGACTGTTTAGTTGCCATCGTGTGTGTTTCGATGTAGCGGTATGGTCATAACAAAGCCGCTGGGTTCGATTTGTTTACTTTTATTAAAAGAGATATATATTCTGAGACATATAGGATAAAATAGAATCAGACTCTAATACACATATGACATCTACTGACAATTCAAACTTCAACCAGGGACGTCCCTGCTTTAACCAATCACAACTTAAATAAGTAAAAATAGCATCACTTTACACATACTCTAGTAGTCATTACAATAGAACAATTACACTAAAGATATAAAAGTTCACTTACAACATAAATGACAGACAGAGACAGTCTTACTGACAAAATAATTCATTCGTTCACTCGGAGAGATAGAATTCAAATGTACCTAGGTACTAAGGACAATGAAAGAAATCCACAAGGCAGAAACTTTCAACCAATCTAAGAACTTCGTCAAAGTCCGTCAAGAGTCACATGTCTGGTCCGTAGCTGACCACAACACACGTACAGCACACATTTACGGATGATATACAAGTAATTATAAAACAACCAATTCGGTATATTGTACTAAACGACAATAAATACATCTTCTATCCAACATAGTTTGACAATCAATATAATTAATAACTTAAACATTTTGACTCCGTTACATAGATAAGTTAACACATGAATACAGATTTTTTCTCCATTGAAGTTAATTCTTAGATTGACCAAGAACTGTAATAAGAAGTTTCATCATGTCACTGAGTCAACTTATTTCATTTGTCTTCTAAGGCTGATGTCGATTTATTTTTACTTTATAAAACTATTTGAAGTTTGCCCCGATGTAGTTGTGTAGAAGGAATAAGAGGGTTCTGAACATTGTTACCGTATTAGATGGAACTTTGGTAAGCCATTTCGTGTGTAGACTATTTTCATTATATACAGTGTGTGAAACGGAGGCCTGTCTAGTAATTTCTATCATTATTTTCTCTTTGGTTACATGACTCTTTGTTGAAATTCTTTTTTGAGGAAAATTAAATATGACGACTTTAATTATACTTTTTTTTTATTCACGTATTCTCGAGTGCATGCACAACATCATGGTATATAAGACCTTTCGTACTGCGAGACCTACTGACAATATACTCATATGTAAATCTAGGTTATGTGTTAATTATCATCTTTCAATTCCTAGATAGCAACATTTATACTTCCTCAGCTTTCGAGATCATCGGATGTTTTATTTTATACTACAGAATGAAATTGCTGAACACATGTTCGTGCCAAATATGTTACAGAGCGTAATTATGTAAATATGGTTAAAATCACGTTTGACAGTATTTTTTCATCACGATTGAAACGTGTCTGATATGGAAAAGATTAGCCATTATACTATTCAACATCCTTGTAGATACTGATGTTGTTTTTCTATCAAATTATCACACCTAAACACATTTAGCTGCAATAAACGCATGTAATGTAATGCACCGTTTCCAGTTAATCATTTTCATTGTGAGTTCAAAAATAGTGATTTATTTTAGAGCGTCATGGACGATCAAAGTCGAGGTCTATATCTTCGTAATAAATTTTAGGTTTGGCATCAACACCTATCCCAACTTCATCGTAATTCACGTTATCCACGCGGTCATACAAACATTCTGATTTAGACCTGTGCCGTTTGAAAGAGTTCGATCCTAATTTGTCGTATGTGTCATTATCTGCTTTTTTTCTTTGTCGTCTAATATACGATTCGGTATGATCGTAATTATCGTCGATGTCGACATCTATCGATTTATCTCCCTTGTCTTCAATAACACTTTCCATAGATGTGTCGGATTCTTTCAAAGATGGCTTCCGCAGTTCGTTTTTACATTTCAAACTCATTTCCATGTTTTTATCTTCTCCCGACGATAATGAATTTCTAAAAGCTCCACTCTCACTATCCTGACCCATTTTGGGATATCCAGTTTCATCACATATATCGACTTCCGTGTATTCTCCTCCAGTTTCCGTCTTTTTCTGTTGTGCATTTAAACCGATTCCATTTTCCTGTTTCATGTGAGTTTTATTGTGATCGTTTTCCGAAATATCATAGAGGTGTTCTGATTTTTCATCAGGCGACATTTCGTCTTTACGTACGAACAGGGCGTCCATTTGTTCTGTGATATTGTCCAGATTTCCTAGATCACCTCCCGAGTCCTCGTCGCTAGGTCCATCTTTGTGGCTGACTACTACACTGTGCTCCAGATTCGAGTAGCTGATCGTCGGACCTTTTAGCATGTTCAACTGCCTTTTCTGTTCTTTGAATCTTCGAACAAATGACACACACATATGATAAAAAAACTACTGTTAGATAAAGTAAAACTACGATTTCAATGATTTTTATATACTACGTTAAAATGCACATAAACGAAATGCATTCAGTTATTTTTCTATCCAAATAATTTGTTTGTTTGAGGTAAAATTCCCTTGTGAAGGGCCCAGCCAAATAATTTGTTTGTTTGAGGTAAAATTCCCTTGTGAAGGGCCCAGCCAAATAATTTGTTTGTTTGAGGTAAAATTCCCTTGTGAAGGGCCCAGCCAAATAATTTGGCACAAGAATGACTTTTGATCTTCCTGAGAATAAGTTCTTTTGAAAATGCACCTAATGCAAGTCCAATCTTTTAAAGTTTCTTTACATAAAACTGTTTGTTAATTAATAATTTATTGTCTTATTTAGATAATTTGATTTCATGATGTCAATTGAAGTTTTGATTACCTGTACAAGAGAACCGCAAGCACGCCCAGGATCACCGTGAGGACTAGAGCCACAAACACAACGGTACTGATCAAACCTTTAACAACGGAAACAAAACATCAAAACGAGAGCCACAAACACAACGGTACAGACCAAATCTTTAACAACGGAAACAAAACATCAAAACGAGAGCCACAAACACAACGGTACAGACCAAACCTTTAACAACCGAAACAAAACATCAAAACGAGAGCCACAAACACAACGGTACAGACCAAACCTTTAACAACAGAAACAAAACATCAAAACGAGAGCCACAAACACAACGGTACAGACCAAATCTTTAACAACAGAAACAAAACATCAAAACGAGAGCCACAAACACAACGGTACAGATCAAATCTTTAACAACAGAAACAAAACATCAAAACGAGAGCCACAAACACAACGGTACAGATCAAATCTTTAACAACAGAAACAAAATGATCAAATCAAGAAACAAAAACGAGAGCCACAAACACAACGGTACTGATCAAATCTTTAACAACAGAAACAAAACATCAAAACGAGAGCCACAAACACAACGGTACAGATCAAATCTTTAACAACAGAAACAAAACATCAAAACGAGAGCCACAAACACAACGGTACAGATCAAATCTTTAACAACAGAAACAAAACATCAAAACGAGAGCCACAAACACAACGGTACAGATCAAATCTTTAACAACAGAAACAAAATATCAAAACGAGAGCCACAAACACAACGGTACTGATCAAATCTTTAACAACAGAAACAAAACATCAAAACGAGAGCCACAAACACAACGGTACAGATCAAATCTTTAACAACAGAAACAAAACATCAAAACGAGAGCCACAAACACAACGGTACAGATCAAATCTTTAACAACAGAAACAAAACATCAAAACGAGAGCCACAAACACAACGGTACAGATCAAATCTTTAACAACAGAAACAAAACATCAAAACGAGAGCCACAAACACAACGGTACAGATCAAATCTTTAACAACAGAAACAAAACATCAAAACGAGAGCCACAAACACAACGGTACAGATCAAATCTTTAACAACAGAAACAAAATATCAAAACGAGAGCCACAAACACAACGGTACAGATCAAATCTTTAACAACAGAAACAAAACATCAAAACGAGAGCCACAAACACAACGGTACAGATCAAAACTTTAACAACAGAAACAAAACATCAAAACGAGAGCCACAAACACAACGGTACAGATCAAATCTTTAACAACAGAAACAAAACATCAAAACGAGAGCCACAAACACAACGGTACAGATCAAATCTTTAACAACAGAAACAAAACATCAAAACGAGAGCCACAAACACAACGGTACAGACCAAATCTTTAACAACAGAAACAAAACATCAAAACGAGAGCCACAAACACAACGGTACAGATCAAATCTTTAACAACAGAAACAAAACATCAAAACGAGAGCCACAAACACAACGGTACAGACAAATCTTTAACAACAGAAACAAAAAATCAAAACGAGAGCCACAAACACAACGGTACAGATCAAATCTTTAACAACAGAAACAAAACATCAAAACGAGAGCCACAAACACAACGGTACAGACCAAATCTTTAACAACAGAAACAAAACATCAAAACGAGAGCCACAAACACAACGGTACTGATCAAACCTTTAACAACAGAAACAAAACATCAAAACGAGAGCCACAAACACAACGGTACAGACCAAATCTTTAACAACAGAAACAAAACATCAAAACGAGAGCCACAAACACAACGGTACAGACCAAATCTTTAACAACAGAAACAAAACATCAAAACGAGAGCCACAAACACAACGGTACAGACCAAATCTTTAACAACAGAAACAAAACATCAAAACGAGAGCCACAAACACAACGGTACAGATCAAATCTTTAACAACAGAAACAAAACATCAAAACGAGAGCCACAAACACAACGGTACAGATCAAACCTTTAACAACAGAAACAAAACATCAAAACGAGAGCCACAAACACAACGGTACTGATCAAACCTTTAACAACAGAAACAAAACATCAAAACGAGAGCCACAAACACAACGGTACTGATCAAACCTTTAACAACAGAAAAATTACGATCAAGACCAGAACCACAAACACAACGGTACAGACCAAATCTTTAACAACAGAAACAAAACATCAAAACGAGAGCCACAAACACAACGGTACAGATCAAATCTTTAACAACAGAAACAAAACATCAAAACGAGAGCCACAAACACAACGGTACAGATCAAATCTTTAACAACAGAAACAAAAATCAAAACGAGAGCCACAAACACAACGGTATCAAATCTTTAACAACAGAAACAAAACATCAAAACGAGAGCCACAAACACAACGGTACTGATCAAACCTTTAACAACAGAAACAAAATAACAAAAAGAGAGCCACAAACACAACGGTACAGATCAAACCTTTAACAACAGAAACAAAATAACAAAAAGAGAGCCACAAACACAACGGTACAGACCAAATCTTTAACAACAGAAACAAAACATCAAAACGAGAGCCACAAACACAACGGTACAGATCAAACCTTTAACAACAGAAACAAAACATCAAAACGAGAGCCACAAACACAACGGTACAGATCAAATCTTTAACAACAGAAACAAAATATCAAAACGAGAGCCACAAACACAACGGTACAGACCAAATCTTTAACAACAGAAACAAAACATCAAAACGAGAGCCACAAACACAACGGTACAGATCAAATCTTTAACAACAGAAACAAAACATCAAAACGAGAGCCACAAACACAACGGTACAGACCAAATCTTTAACAACAGAAACAAAACATCAAAACGAGAGCCACAAACACAACGGTACAGATCAAATCTTTAACAACAGAAACAAAACATCAAAACGAGAGCCACAAACACAACGGTACAGATCAAATCTTTAACAACAGAAACAAAACATCAAAACGAGAGCCACAAACACAACGGTACAGATCAAATCTTTAACAACAGAAACAAAACATCAAAACGAGAGCCACAAACACAACGGTACAGACCAAATCTTTAACAACAGAAACAAAACATCAAAACGAGAGCCACAAACACAACGGTACAGATCAAATCTTTAACAACAGAAACAAAACATCAAAACGAGAGCCACAAACACAACAGACCAAATCTTTAACAACAGAAACAAAACATCAAAACGAGAGCCACAAACACAACGGTACAGATCAAACCTTTAACAACAGAAACAAAACATCAAAACGAGAGCCACAAACACAACGGTACAGATCAAATCTTTAACAACAGAAACAAAACATCAAAACGAGAGCCACAAACACAACGGTACAGATCAAACCTTTAACAACAGAAACAAAACATCAAAACGAGAGCCACAAACACAACGGTACAGATCAAATCTTTAACAACAGAAACAAAACATCAAAACGAGAGCCACAAACACAACGGTACAGACCAAATCTTTAACAACAGAAACAAAACATCAAAACGAGAGCCACAAACACAACGGTACTGATCAAACCTTTAACAACAGAAACAAAACATCAAAACGAGAGCCACAAACACAACGGTACAGACCAAATCTTTAACAACAGAAACAAAACATCAAAACGAGAGCCACAAACACAACGGTACAGATCAAATCTTTAACAACAGAAACAAAATATCAAAACGAGAGCCACAAACACAACGGTACAGACCAAATCTTTAACAACAGAAACAAAACATCAAAACGAGAGCCACAAACACAACGGTACAGATCAAATCTTTAACAACAGAAACAAAACATCAAAACGAGAGCCACAAACACAACGGTACAGATCAAATCTTTAACAACAGAAACAAAACATCAAAACGAGAGCCACAAACACAACGGTACAGACCAAATCTTTAACAACAGAAACAAAACATCAAAACGAGAGCCACAAACACAACGGTACAGATCAAATCTTTAACAACAGAAACAAAACATCAAAACGAGAGCCACAAACACAACGGTACAGACCAAATCTTTAACAACAGAAACAAAAAATCAAAACGAGAGCCACAACACAACGGTACTGATCAAATCTTTAACAACAGAAACAAAACATCAAAACGAGAGCCACAAACACAACGGTACAGACCAAATCTTTCACAACAGAAACAAAACATCAAAACGAGAGCCACAAACACAACGGTACTGATCTAACCTTTAACAACAGAAACAAAACATCAAAACGAGAGCCACAAACACAACGGTACAGACCAAACCTTTAACAACAGAAACAAAACATCAAAACGAGAGCCACAAACACAACGGTACAGACCAAATCTTTAACAACAGAAACAAAACATCAAAACGAGAGCCACAAACACAACGGTACAGATCAAATCTTTAACAACAGAAACAAAAATCAAAACGACTTTAACAACAGAAACAAAACATCAAAACTAGCCACAAACACAACGGATCAAACCTTTAACAACAGAAACAAAACATCAAAACGAGAGCCACAAACACAACGGTACAGAACAAATCTTTAACAACAGAAACAAAACATCAAAACGAGAGCCACAAACACAACGGTACAGACCAAATCTTTAACAACAGAAACAAAACATCAAAACGAGAGCCACAAACACAACGGTACAGATCAAATCTTTAACAACAGAAACAAAACATCAAAACGAGAGCCACAAACACAACGGTACTGATCAAATCTTTAACAACAGAAACAAAACATCAAAACGAGAGCCACAAACACAACGGTACAGATCAAATCTTTAACAACAGAAACAAAACATCAAAACGAGAGCCACAAACACAACGGTACAGACCAAATCTTTAACAACAGAAACAAAACATCAAAACGAGAGCCACAAACACAACGGTACAGATCAAATCTTTAACAACAGAAACAAAACATCAAAACGAGAGCCACAAACACAACGGTAGAGATCTTTGATTTTACTACAGAGATACATTTATATCTACAGTAGAGCCACAAACACAACGGTACTGATCAAATCTTTAACAACAGAAACAAAACATCAAAACG